TCATTATACCTGTTCAAACAAACGGGAGGAAATTCATCATTCAGTAAATGAAGACAGACTTACGAACTACAAGGAAGATATAGATCCTACTTGGTTGTTCGTTCCATCATTCTAAGCGTTATTTCTAGTTCAAGCTAACAAGAAGCCGGCTCGTAGATTTTCCAGCAGTCTAACTAACTGGTTTCGGAGAGCGTAAAAGGTAACTTACACTTACTGGGGAGGGTTCGGAAAAGGGACGCACTTATGACTGTTGGTGAAGACAATTTAAAATATGAGTGACGATAAATCGAATTCTAAGTCTGCCAATTAATCCAACGGGATTTTCCTTCAGAAACTGGAATCATTCAAATCGTGTGAGTTGCTCAGTGTCAGAAGTTCCAACGGAAGGTGCAAGTTCATTTGCATAATACTATGCACAAGTGGTTGACTGAAAGGAATTCTACTAGTTGATGTGAGTCATTTAGTCATCCCGATCAATCAGTAGTACATAGTTTTATGGATAAATGAGAAACGATTTTATATGTTAAACTTTTCCCTTTTGTCACAAAGCAGATAGACGCGAGATTCTACCAAGACGTTTGATATTTTCAGAAAAGGCGTTGGGCCAACCATTTTTCTTTGGTTTCGAAATCTTATGGGAAAAAATATCATCGTGAAATGCCGGTTTTTTCACCGACCTCTTTACTTGGTCAGTTCGAGAAAGCATTACAGAGGCATCATTTATCGTCAACAAAGATTCTATGCAGATTTGAAGGAAGCCTTCTCTCCTCAACCAAAATTGAATTCTGATACAAGCAGCGAAAGGCTAAACCCAATTCTGAGGTTAGTCGGTCTAACTCTCTTATCCTCTTTAGCGTACATGTGAGCAAGGATAGCTTACTTGAATAACGAGCCTTGTTTGATCAGGAACAGTGGTCCAGCCTGTGCAATAAATTAGGTCTGAACATTAGTTCAACAAAATTGTGCAGACTGTAAAGGGTGCTTACACGCCTCAAGGCAAGCCACCCCCATTAAGGGCTCTGCCGGAGACTGTGAAAAAGTACTATTAATGGCTCAGGTACTAGCCCTGGACAGAAGTTCGAACATAAGGGTGAGAAAAGAGAAACCATGGGCTATCAGACAAATGACGAGGGAGTTATCGGAACTGATGCCTTCTACCTCTATGGTGGTACACAATGTTTCGGAGCTGGAAACCAGCACTGCTTGTGAAAAACACATGTACGACGTACAGCAATGGAGATGGCTGTCATCTCAGATTGCCCTTGGCGCTTCCGGAGCCATCTCAATTTTCCAGCTACCTCGTCCCACTCATCTCGCATTGATTAGCTCTCCGAAGCTGTTAAGCGTCACATTCAACTACCCGGAGCAGTTGTTCATAGTACTTGAACGGTGGTATAAGACCAAGGGAAAAATGGGAGGAAACATCCGATGCTGCGAAAGCAGACCCCGAACTATAAGGAGGCAGCAAACTGAGGCTTTAATGCGTCCCTAAGCCTCAGTGACACTAGAGCGATGCAGTTCTGAGAATAGCAGTCTGCGACACCCAAGTGTCCTGCCTAAATCCATTGAAAAAATCTACAACGGGCCCGTTCTATCGGAATCGGCCAACTAGTCCCAACATCAAGTCCTCCACCAGCACACAGTTTCACGTCAACTACCTCAAATTACGCTGAAGTTGTTAAACTCACTGTCAGCTGCCTATATACCAATATGAGGGTGCTGAGAGGAAGAGTAGGTGAACTCCGAAATCTCCAAGCACACCTTCAACTTAAAATGATCATTCTCACTGAAACGTGGCTAAACCCCACTATCGCCAACAATGAAATCAGTATAGGTGATGTGGTACTGGTCAGGAGAGACAGGGATAATAGGGAAGGAGGGGGAGTTGCTATATACTTTGATAGGCAACTTAAATGTGTGCGCGCAACGGACCCACCACTTATCGAACTCCCAGACTCCATATGGTGTCATTTCACCGTAGGCCACACCAAGCACTTACTGGGTGGCATCTACCGATCTCCCACCTGTGGGGCAGAGCACAATCAGCTACTGCTCAGCACTATCACAGGGATACGAGATTTGGGCTACGACCAAATCACCATAGCTGGAGATTTCAATGCTCCATCACTGAACCTTGGCTCCGGGTATGCTAAGGGAAAATTTGGCCGAAACCTACTGCAAACTATTCGAAACACGGGACTGACTGAGAATGTTGGAGACGACACTAGGTGGGGCCCTAGTGGAAAGTCATCAAAACTAGATTATATTCTAACTAGTGACCAGCTACTCGTCGAAAAGGTCCAGATCATGACTCCTCTGGGAAGCAGTGACCATGCAGTCATAGGTTTCGATCTTGTCCTCCGTGAGCGTTTGCAATGGGATGTTACGCGACCATGTCTGTGCTACAGCAAGGCTGACTATGCTGAAATGCGGAGGCTCTTGTCCGACGCAGACTGGCCCTTAGCATGGGACGACCTATCTGTGGATGAACACTGGGAAGTGGTAAAAAAGATTATCCATATAGCAATCTCGGATACCGTCCCTTTAGTCACAACACAGCCCAAGAGAAAGACGTCATGGTTGAAGAGAGGCACGCAACGTATTCTGCAAGCAAAGCGGAAGTTTTGGTTTACGTGGCGTGTATCTAAGAGTCAGACCGACCATGATGCATACCTCGAACTCAGGAACCGGTGTAATGCAAGAGTTAGGAGGGACAGAAGGTCATTCCAGGCTAACCTTGCTAAAAAACTCCTATCAAACCCTAAAAACTTGTACCGATTCATGTCGGAAAGAAAACCGACAAACCAAGGGGCATGCGCCTTAGTAGGCCCAAACGGTCAATATCTCACTAGTCTGGAGATGGCTGAAACATTCAGTTCAGCCTTCGCTAAACAGCTAAACAGCAATGTGGATATTACAGTTACGGACCAAAATGGTGGCACCACTATTTCAGAGGAGGAAGACCTAGCGACTACTCCCCAAATAAACCCCGCAATAGTACTAAGGAAGCTACAGCGACTCATACCTGGGAAGTCCCCAGGTTGTGACAACATCAGGCCATCTGTTTCGAAACAGTGCGCCGAGGCTCTCTGTAGACCCCTGTGCGACTTGTTCCAACACTCAATGGATTCGGGGACCCTGCCAAGGGAGTGGAAAAGAGCCATCCTTTCTCCAATCTTCAAGGGTGGGGACAGGCAAAACGCCACTAGCTATAGACCAGTAGCTCTACTCCCAGTGGTATCAAAAGTACTGGAAAGTATTATTGACGACCACAACCCTAACCCAACATGGTTTCAGAAAAGGCAGATCCTGCGTTACTAACCTACTGTCAGCTTGGGACGACTGGACATCATGCTGGGATATGAATGTACCAGTCCATGTGGTCTTCCTAGACTTTGAGAAGGCATTTGACACTGTTCACCATGACTTTCTCCTACATAAAATAAGCCAGGCAGGTATAGGTGAGCCACTTCTGTCATGGTTGAAGGACTACCTAGCCGACAGGCAATTTTGCACTAAGGTTAAGCGAGTCCGATCATCTTGGCACAGATCGTCATCAGGAGTGTCGCAGGGTTCTATCCTAGGACCACTGATGTTTTTGATTTTCATCAATGATCTACCACGCCGTCTGAGCTGCCCGACTCCCCTATACGCTGACGACGTAAATATATGGAGGGCGATAAAGTGTCCGGAGGACTCAGATAGGCTACAGGAAGACCTAAACCTTCTGGAAGACTGGGCGGTGGCCAGTGGCATGACTTTCAACTTGAAAAAGTGCAAAGTAGTGAAGTTGCGCACCTGTAGACTGCAGAATGAAAGCTACACCCTGCGCAACGTCGGAACGCGACTTCGGTCTAGTTCTAACGGAAAAAATGGACACAAGCGTAAATTACACAGGGGATGTAGCGAGGGCATATGCGGTTGTACACTTTACGCATAGACAGCTAGGTGCACTCACTCCTGAGCTCTTTCTAAGGTTGTACAAAACATACGTCAGACCACACCTTGAGATGCATAATATTATTGCACCCCCAATGCTGAGAAGAGACGCCAACCTCTTGGAAAGAGTCCAACGACGGGCAACAAAAGGAGTGGTTGGTCTCCGAAATTAACCATATGATGAAAGGCTGAAGAAATTAGGCCTCTTCACGCTTAGCTACCGATGTCTTATGGGAGATTTGATTACTGCCTACAAAACAACAAATGACCGGAGTCATCCAAACAAAGGCGTCCTGCCACTGAGTAGGTATAGGCTCCCTCGTGGAAATCCCAGAATGATAGCTCACAAGAGGGCAAGGACTCGGGTGTGCTCCCACTTCTTTTCACTGCGGATTTACCGTCCCTGGAATTCCTTACCGGCAGATGTAGCTATGGCACCGTCTTTGGACGCCTTTAAGCAAGGGCTGGACAACCATGCAGCGACACAAGGACTGCATCGAAACAGCCTATCCCCTTAAAATCGCATACACCATTCAGGGGTAGACAATTAAACTTATCGTTTTGCTTCTTTACATTCTTCCCCGTCCTACTCCCCTGACAACCTTAGCTACACTTATTATCATCATCATCATTATTACCGATATACATATATTATTCATATTAATCTTCAAATTTAATCAGCTGACTGTTGTTACGTTTTCTTATTTCTTTTTCTGTCTGTTAGTCTGAATAACTTCACTAATTATATCTATTATTATTATCTCTTTTCTCTTGTCGACGATACCGGAGGACTAACGGGCGAAAGGGTGAAATCCATTCACAGTAGTAACAGTCTTAACACACCTCATACTACAAACCACATATAATTAATCCCAGCACTACTCCCTTTGGAGTCAACCAAAGCTACGAGAGTCGAGTGGCGGAACGAGCTACGCAGAGGTTTACCGAAGATCGGGAACCGTTACATTACAATCAAGAGGCGAGCACAAAGAAATCAAATTGGTTTTTACTAGCTCGTAAAAACGATATTGGATATTGGACCTCTTTAGACACTCCGGTATATTTGAAATTTTGCGTTGCTTCTTCACGTGAGAAGTATATTCCATTTTTTTGTTATTTGCTTACTGATTACAGTGCAATGAATAGGTTGGAAATAAAAACGCTACAAAATAATTCTGTTTAAAGTTTTTAGGCAGCAATTGCTGTCGAACGTTACGCTTGTATAATCATAAATTGGCAAAGAGTAGTTAAATAATGGTCAGAGTGAGCACGACTTCGGGAAAATTGTAAGAATTGTAATATAGTGGGCAAACCCTGGGTAAATGATGGTCAAAGAGGAAAAAGACTGCCTTAACAGTCACTTAGTTCCGAAAGTAGTGGCCATGTAATGGGAAAATATTGGTTCACCATTGGTAACAAAATTCGCCAGATTTTTATTACTATTGGCCTTGTCCATTATTTAACCTCTTTGCACTTTTTCTTATCGGAACGCTTCACTTTATGAAAAAATTGGTGGCAGTTGACTGTGGTAACCACCAACCTTGCACGGTGAAACAATTATGTTACCAGTCATGTTTGCAGAATAACTTTCGTCTGAAGGGTTTCGTGCTTATCTAATCTACCTACTTTTATCATTGAGGGTTGATGTTAGTGATTGGATTGGTGTTATGAGTTATGTATATGGTTAAGTTTGAAGGCTAGAGTGTGGGTCATATTATGAGTTAGAGTTACAGCAACGCTGATCATCCCTCTAAACAGTTCATCAACGAATCCAAGGTTTTTCACAGTTTTATTCGGATGGTTTGCTTAACGCCACTCGGCAGTTACTGTACTCCGTTTTTGCGGAAATGGTGACATTTTAACTGAAGAGACATCTATAGCTGAACTTTTTGAGGCACTTGTTGTTTAGAAACGACTAAAAAGAATAAGTGAAAGGCTGTTTAAATGCCCAATGGATAAGATAAATGTTTCATAATATGTATATGTAGTAAGGTATATGCCCGACTTTGAGGGTAAAATTCCATTAATGATGATGAAAATAATTATTCATGATGTTTAAGTTGGCATAAAAGTCAGTAGTAAAGAAAAACCATCATCTTTTATCGAAACAATCGAAAGTAACTAATTAGGTGTGTTCAGAAGCGCATCATCTTGTAATTTTTACAAGAGCGCATATTAACAGTAGGAAAAGGCGCTATGGTCATGTCCATTGGAGTTTTAATTCACTCGTGTAGCTCAACTTTGTAAATATCTTCGAATTGTGTATTGTGTTCGTCATAAATATATGTACCGAGCAGTTGAATTGCAATGTTATCGTTGTGTATTTTAGTGCTGTCATCTCATTTTTTTCGAGAAAGTGTGTATGTCTTTGTTTTGGTTTTCACGTCCATTGTGTTCTCATATTTCGTCATCCATTATGTGTGTATTTTAGTAGTCTAAATTTGGGGTTTTCCTGTAAATAAATTCTGTAAGTCGCACAGCGTGGTGGTAAATTGTTCGCAGTTGTAGTATGTTGCTTGAAAAACTTGTGGTTGTCAAATTTTACTTCGCTTCAGAGTGAATTATTGTGAACTGATGAATGCGTATTAATAGTCGTATTCTCGTGAAGTGAACTGAGGTATCGGAATGAGTGCATCAATTCAAGTTGTTACACTTCGTAAGAACACTTAAAATTAGGAAGTGTAGAGCAGAATGAATAGTTATGTGTAAAATAAGGAGGATTTAATAATTTAGAAAGAAGAAATACATTTGTGGCATTGGGAAGAATTTCGAGCAGTGTCATCAACAGTCTCTAAGCATTGATTTGCAGTATCTTTAGGACTTCAATGAAGCAGTCTACATCACTCTACGTGTCTCAAACCAACAATCAAAATGTTTCATGGATCAGAGTCATGTTTCATATTAATGTATGTGTAAAACTTGGGCACTCTGGTAGTAAGTAATTCCATATTAGTTTGTTTATTAGACGTATCACACAGTAGAAACAGTATTATTTACTGGATTGATTTTGGGCATTAAATTAAACCACTTAGACTCACCTAGAAACGGCTTCATTCGGCATATAAGGTCCACTGTGCATTTCTTAACTTTAGTCATAACTTTATCTATTGATTTACTAGTTCCCTCATATGGTCCTGTTTGTATGTGAATATTCACCTTGTCCAAGCAGTCTGATTTGTCTAATACTACTGTTGCGTTTCCTTTGTCTGACTTTGTGATTACTATATCCTTGTTATTCTTAAAGTGTTTTAGAGCTTTTATCTCTGGTTTTGTCGTTTTAATGTAAGTGCACATTGTGCCTGTACTACGTCAGCCGTCGTTTTGTCTATCTCACTTAGTGCTATTTCTATTTTAGGGATGACATTCTCAGGTTTCAGCTTGTTAACTGCTACATTGAAATTTAGTCCCTATTCTAATACACTTATTTCTGTAGGACAATATATGTGTTGAGAGATTGAAAGTCCACTTTGTTTTATCGATCGCCGTTGACTTTAGATTGTTGACTTCATCGTCCTGAGATGAGGATTTCTCCTCTAATAATTTATTGAACTTTTTGATTTGATTATTTTTTGACTTTTTGAAAGTTGCTGATTTTGCATTGCTAGATGACTGACTGTGTTATAAGATCATAATCTACATTGGTAACTATTCCTATTAACTTTTGCTTTAATTGCTCAATTTCACACTTGACATGTTGCAACTTTTTAACGATTTGGTGGATCTCTTCTTTCAGGCATAATTTTTTGTAGGCTTTCTATTCTGCTTCTAACTCTGTCCGTTGGAACTAGAGCTCGTACATGCAGGTATTTAGGAATGATTTCATTTTTTAAGCAGCTAATGTTGAAAATACGATGATTTTCATATCTTGCTTCAGTTTGCAAATACTGTTTCACTTTGTGATACATCTAATAAACATCTAATAATATGGAGTCATGTTTCGTTCTGACTACCAATTCTTTCTTAACCTTATCGTTTACCAATAAACATCCTGTATTTTTGTAATTAAACTTGTTCACACTATGATAATCATAACCAAACTTAAATTAACGCGTAAACTTTATTTTATTAACAACTTAATGGGACATTTCAACTGCTGGTGTCTGTGGTGTTGCCATCTTTTAAACTTGCTTTTTTTTTCAAATTATAGTGACGCATCAGTTCGTTTTGGCGAATTGTGGGCTAATTATCTGAGAAACAGTCGTCCATATCATCAGTTCTGCTTTCCTTTTATCTCCTTAGAGACGTCACTGTTGTGGGGATTACATAGGCGTTAAGTTTTTGATCTGATGTCAGACACAGCATCTCAGTATGCAAATTATATTTTGCAGAAGTATTTTGGTGAAGCTGCTACAGTGAGCACACGTATTTTGTGTATCAAAGGTGCATCAAGTTTATTTGAAATTTTAAAGTATTGTCATAAAAAGTTGGATTCACGTCGTGTTTGCAAGTGAGTTGTGTTATTGTCATTTTGATATATACATATTTCAGGTGTCTGATTTCACTGACAAGACATTCTGTCCTAACAATTAAAAAGGACACAGTATTGAAGTATGGTTTAAATCATGAACGTATATTTTTTATACCAAGGTAATGTTGATATACTTGTGTATATATTTGTGTGCATTTAGATCACCATTATTTTGTAAATTAGTATTCCATTACTATGGCAAAGTTGCAGAACAAGTTATGCTATATTTTTCTACTATTGGGCGGGCTACTTTAAGTGATGTTTTGATGTATTGCGTTAAGAAGCATCTCAAACTTAAGCGTAAGGAAAGCTTTCACTTGCATTTATGCTTTTCCACATACAGTTTCTGTAGAAGAACAACACAGTTATGTTGAATCCTTAGGAACAACTGTAACAACTCTTGTGAAAACAAATGTTTTACAGACTACAAATCCTAAACTTTGGTCACTTGAGAACACCAAAGAAACAAATTCTTCACAAACCGGTGAAACGTCTATAGTAACATCTACTACCCAAGATTCTGAAATACAAGTTTCAAAAGAAGAGATATGTGGTAAGTTACTTAGACTGTGTGTAATTAAAGTGCCCAATTATCGTTGTGAGATTGATTGTGTTTTTCAAAGTATTAGTGCCAGTTCAGTGTCTGTCAGTTTGTTTATCGGTTGGTTGGTCAGTGTTATCTTAACAGTCACTTAAACATTAAATGTGTAGTCAGCTTATTGATTTGTATTGCTTGATGACTTAAATTCAAACTACGTGAACGTTCAAACACAGACTCTTTGTTGATTCTAGTTCCATTTGTAGTTGTAATTTTCGGAAAAAGAACTGGTAAAATTAATGGACTGTGATAAATAACTGTAACCTATGTAGCAGTTAAAAATCAACGGAGAGTAATGCGGAAATAAACAGGTAGATAAGGCTAAACAGACCTTCATCACTCTAAAGCCAGTTTTGGAAGTCCTCTGTACTCTGCATAAACAACACAGTTTGGATTTTTCAACATCAATCTCAAGTTATTTTCTTCTATATGGTTCAGAAATTTGGCGTTTTTGTCACGAAAACCACTTTCAACAGGTTATTATTATTGTTTCCTTTAATTCCTAGAAGAACATAGGGCTCCAGCCGCGCGTCTCCATTGCATTCGGTTCTCTGCTAAAGTTTTCACCTGGCTCCAAGTCTACCCAAATGCTTTCATCTCCTCTTCACATGACCTCCAAGTCACCCTTGCACTGACGACCAACTTGCCGCTTCCCTTTCGGGTTCCACTCGAGCGATGGCTTGTCTAGTGATGTCACTTGATGGTTTCCTCAGCGTATGGCCAATCCATCTCCATTTCTTCCTGCCTATTTGTTGCACATTCGGTTCCTGGTTGGTTCGCTCCCAGAGATCCCTGTTGGTTATCTTTTCTGTCCGGCCATATGATCTTGAGTAGTACTGAGCGAGGACAGGTGTTGGTGAAGGTCCGTAGTTTGTTTGAAATGCTCTTCATGACGCACTGGCCAAGTCTCTGATCCGTATAGTAAGTGGCACTGACTTCACATTGGAGTTGAAAATCTGGATCTTATTTTTGATGGTGAGTGCTGTTGACCTCCACACAGAGTAATGAAAGCTTGTCTTGCTTTTCCGATTCTCGCTTTGATATCCTCGTCAGTTCCTTCCACCTGTTGTTGAAACGATGCTTCCCAGTTAGGTAGGTAAAGGAGGTTGTTTCTTTCAGATTTCTCGATTTATGCTGGCTGATTGTTGTCTGGTGTTGTTGCTGTTGGTGTTGGCCAGGAGTCTTCAGCACTTCTGTTTTCTGTGTTCACCTAAAGTGATATCCTATCTTTGATGCTTCTTCTGCCAGCTTGTTGCTTTTCACTTACATATCCTCCAGTTTGTCGGAAATCAGACATATGTCATCGGCGAAGTCCAGATCCTCTAAGTCTCTTTTTGTGTGAGTCCATTTTATGCCTGTTTCCTCATTGCCGTTGTCTGTCGCATTATCCTATCTACGGCAATCAGGAAAATCATTGGCGATAGTAGGCAGCCTTGCCTTACTCCCGTCCTCACTTCGAAGGATTCCGTAAGTTTCCCGTTGTGGATTAATTGGCATGCACCATTGTCGTACAACTGTTGGATGAGATGCATGATTGTCGGTGGCACCCAGTATTAGCGAAGTGGATTCCAAATCACCTCTCGGTCGACGCTGTCTTCAACCTGTCTTTCAACAGTTTGCATACTTTCATCAGCAGCTTCCTACTTCACTGGCTCCATACTAAAGATTAGCTGAACGATCAGAGAGTCTGTAGTGTAAAGAACCTAAAAAGAACGAATATAGCGAAGGAAATGAAGATGGATCGAACACACACTGAGGAGACCGCTGAATAACATTGCACGACAGGCTATCGCTCCAATGGGACCCGAAAAGTGAAAAAAGAGTTGGACGTTTTTCTGAGGGTGACACAGAGGAGATCGTGTGAGGAGGAGGTGAGACGCTATGGGCAGTCGTGAGGCCAGCTTAAGAGGACCGCTGAGAAAGGATAAAGTGGAGATGTCCTGTTGAAGCCCTATGCTCCACTTGGGACCCAAGGGAATAGTAATAGAAATAGATAAGTCTGCATTTCAAATCATTAAACCAGTCGAAACGAAGTTACTTAGACTAATGCTCATTTCGTATTCCTTTTTTTAAATAAACCTAATACGGAGTATAACAGATTTATAAGGAAGCGAATAGATCGTAAAAGTGAGGAAGTTATCCTTGGTTAGAGAAACAGTATCTGTAATATATGAATATATGTATCTTAAGAGCAAACTGTTGTTGAGGTTCACTTATCCGGAACAGATCCACCATGAACGAGGTTAAGATCCACACTTATTGCCTTAGAGCTGGTGATACTATCCAGTCCAGTTACGCTGGCTGAAGTAGGTGGAGCGGGACTCGAACCAATGACCCATCAGCTGAAAACCGAATGCGTTAGCCAATGAATAGCTAAACGGATACAAAAATCAGTGATAAGTTCAGTTCCTCTCTGGTGTTAGTTGGTCATTCTAATCACAGTCACAGAACTCTAGTACACCAACAGATACCAATCTGAAGGAAGCGTTCTTTATTTTGTCACAGTCTTTGTCTCACAGTCAATTTATACTTAGTAAAAATGTTGGTAGTATTGTAACGCAAGAAGATGAGAGACTTGATAAAGAACCTTTATTGATCGAAAACCTATCATATTTATACTTTATTAGCCACTTTAAAGTTAGGCTCGCTGAGAGGAGAATAAATTGTTGTAGTTAGTTGGCGATTGACCCAAGGTTTTATAAGGTTGTTGGATGAGGTTATTTCATATGCCCACAAAGTAAACTAAATCCAGATCTACCGAATGCGTAAAGTTAAACTTTAAACACCACCAACTACCAATCAGCGTATGATCTCGAACGCACCAATCACGTGAAGGAGGCAATTTTGTGTATGGAACACGTATATATTTATGAAAAAAATGCATAAAAACTGCATAAAAGTGATGTACAGTTATATTAACAGTTAATATAACTGTACAACACTGTGTGATTTATCAAAATAAAATCTTATCCATAATGGAGTTATACTCTACCACAGTGCCCAAGTTTTATACTTATATCAATACTGCATAAAAGTGAGGGTACCTTACCCTCACATGCGATAAAAATAGCTCTCAGTTTTAGGTTGGAGTATCAACACAGTATAATTCAATTGTGGGTAAAATTTATTTTTCTAAAGTCTCACAGTATTATGCAGCAATAATTACTGGGTAATAAACTGTGCTCGAAACGTGGCCATCAGTAAATATTACTACTGTATAACACTGTGAGACTTTATGAGAATAAATTTTACCCACAATGGAATTATACTCTACCACTGTTGTGCACAAGTTCTATTCTTATATCAGCAGAGTAATTTAACTACATTCTGTGCATGTAATTATTTAGGTCTTCTAACCCTAACAATAACCCTAATCTTTCCCGAACCTAACCCTAACGTGAAAATATCCCTAAACTAACTGTGATCTAACTCGAACCAACGCTAATGTCGCCTTTAATAGGTTAACGTTACCTTAACTTGTCCTTGGTTTAAACCGTAACATAATCTTTCTCAAACATAAGCTGAAATTTAACAGGTATTATCCCATTTAATCACATAACACTTCGATGGGCATATTTTATTGATGATGACAACATTTCTTGTCAGAATTTTACTGACTTGGTGCGGTCGCACTCCATTGGTAGTTAGTGGTGCTTAGAGTTTAACTTAGCCGCCGAATGATGAACACTTTTTACCTGTGTGTTTAACCATTGACACAAAATGTTTATTTCAGTTTTGACCGCTTTCTGTCAACCTGCGTCACGCCATAGTGTGGTGTGTTTTTAGCGCAATCCAGTTATATATTCTTAGATTGCATTATTGTGATATCAAAGGTGGATATTGCTTGTCATTGAGGCCAGGTTAACATATTTTTACGTGCCCAGTTTGTAAAAGTGTAATATTCCGTTAAATGAATTATAAACATTAGGTTTTTCACTTCAAGCCTTCGTTGTGATAATTAGATTTGCTTCATAATTTCATGACTTATTAAAATGTTAACTTTGCGCATTTAAACATTGGTTCATTTAACTTTCAACAATTTTTCGAATTTCCATTTCGTCCAATTTAGAAGCATTACACACTTATATAGCAAGTGGACGAGTCAGCTGGCCTATACCTATTGAGGTAGATGGTGAACCGTCGCGTAAACGCACGAAACCCTATGATGAATCCTCTGAGGTAAGTTGTGAAAAGAATCTTAACTAAATTAGTACGGCATTGTTGTTAAGCAGCTGTTTTATGTGCTCCGGTGTTGTTCGTTTTAATCAGATTGCGAATTAACCTCCTCAATTGGTAATGCTGAAAACTTGTAGTTCATGATTTCTGAGAAAGAATAAATACTATAATATTAGACAGCCGTTTCGTTTTATTTTGGGGCTTTTCATCAGTATGCATCCAGTGGAGTTCGAACCCAGGACCTTCCAGACTTGCTCTATACAGGAAGTACCTGGAGTTCTAGTAAGAATTCGTAAACAGCAGGGTTGACCAAGTCAAGCGAGAGGACAGTTACTGGCCCGTGACATCGGCTTGCGGTTGTGCTAAATATATATCACGAATCAGCAGAAGTTGGAATTCATGGACCGGTGACTTAATGGTCTACGAGCTCGGCTTCTAACCAGAAGGTCCTGGGTTCGAACCTCCATGGGTGTGGACTGATGAAGAGTGCCAGGCTAGGACGAAACGACTGTCCAATGCCCCCTACTGGTTACCCACTGATTCTCGAACTGATGTCAGCTCGTGATGTATAAAGCAAGTTAGTATCTAATAATTTTAAAAATCCGAACATTGGGTATATGATATTCATCACCATTGAAAATTTGTATTTCCTAACAAATTGCAAGTTTTCTACTGGAATTTCGCCTCTTTATTGCTAATGACTTTATCAAATTAATAGGCCAGAATTTATCCAATTCCCGCTTTTTTTGTATGAAGCTAGTCTGCATTATTAAGTGATTGAATTGATTGTTAACTGTGACAAGTGTGTGTGTGTGTGTGTAGATTGAGAAAACAACATTTAGCCTTTATTTGGTGGATGGTGACTAGCGGTGGAAGGTGGAGGATGTACATTTCTTCTTATTTTGGAACTCGTCATCTGATGATTGTACCTACGATTAGTCTTGTAATGAACGTTCTCATTACGTCTGCATTAATGAGGATAGTTTAATACAAGAGGGTCTTGAATACAAGCAGCCGTTTTGAACTCTTCATGTTTACATATTTGATCATACGTTGATATCAGTTAGAGAACTGGTGGAAAACCTGAGGAGTACTGGATAGTTGTTTCGCCCGAATTTGGTACTCTTCGTCAGTACAACTTACCTAATATCTCCCGATGGCAAGGAGTACGCTGGTAGACCATTCAGCTATTGGAGGTTGATCCAATGACTAACGCATGAATTCTAACTTCTGTCCATTCGCGATATACGGCGCAAGTGATGTCAGCTCGTCATCCGACCTGTAAACAATCACATTCAGACAGTTGAGATTCAACCTTATAGGGGTTGCTTCTGCTAAGAACATTTATGAATTTTGAAATTTTTCTGTGAACTATTTCAACATTATGAAAGTGTATTTTGTCACCCGTTATTATACCAATAATAGAGGAGTTTTCTGAGCTTTCCAAGTTTTAATAACTTTCTCGGTGGTCAATTGGAGAAGCCCTGTGATTTTCATCCCATCTAATATTGTTTTCTCAAGAACGCGTTGTCCAGTATACTTTGAGGCCATAGTTTGGACATTATATTTTGTAAACACAATTAAATTTCTAAATCTTTCAGAATCTCGTCTTTTACATGAACGAGAGTGCTTTGCAGTGGACCTAATATTTAACAATGAAAAACCTAATTCTGCATCTGTGCAGTGACCTGTTTAGAATAACGACTTTTTACCGTTTATAGTTTTGATGTGCTTTGTTTAGCCACATTTCTGTTTATTTTGTGATTAAAATTCCTCGGATGTTTATTTATTTATGTATTTTAAGAATATCTAATAAATTTGGAGTGTTATTAGAAGGGAGAGATTGTCTTAAAAATGTCAAGTACTTGCCGAATACATTTCAAACAATCTGATCACTTATCAATTCGACAAATCCATTTATATGAAAACTAAAAGTTCAAATAAAATAAATTAAGTGATAGAGATTTTAGTAGTAAAAATAATCAACACTCCATTTTGTCACATGATTAGATAAGGATTATCAAGGTAGGTGAAGAGTAATTATAGATTGGAAGACGAAATTTGCAGTATAAAATGATATCATCATTCTACTTCACAGGCTCTCATCAGCTGCACACCACTATCTGAAATTTCAATGGTTATATAGATGATAATAACATACTTTAATGTTTGAGTGGTAGTAGAGAAGAGATACTATAAAATTGACGCATCGAAAATGAAAGCACTACAATTTTTAGTTTAAGTTTTCATCATCAATTTATACGCTTTTAAAGTTGAAAAGAGGGGGAAGGGGTAAGACAGAAAACAGAACAAATTGATTAAGAGAATAGTGTTAAACTTAAACTAAAAATTGTAGTGCTTTCATTTTCGATGCGTCAATTTTATAGTATCTCTTCTCTACTACCACTCAAACATTAAAGTATGCTATTATCATTTATATAACCATTGTAATTTCAGATAGTGGTGTGCAGCTGATGAGAGCCTGTGGAATAGAATGATGATATCATTTTATACTGCAAATTTCGTCTTCCTTTCTTTATCGAAATTTATCAAGGGAACCAATTGTATGAAATTATAGATTTTTCATGCACACAACAGTAAGAGGGGAGGGCTTAAGTTTATGAATACCTATCGCTTCATTGTATTTCAGTTAGCGCCTTCTGACTGTTTGTATAAATAATCCTTAAAGGTTTCATTATGGATAGTATTTTATTTTGACAAATCACACAGTGTTATACAGTAATACCAAATGATAACCACGTTTCGAGCACAATTTAATGCTACCCATAGTCATATCAGGGTACTCATGCAACTTTCTTGCTTCATTTTTATACATGAGTCAAAATTGATTGGACATTTGAATAAAATCAATATAAGATAAAGTACATTCGGAACAAATATTAGTGTTATGAATAAAGTACAGTAAGACGGGAAATAAGATGTTTTTATAGTAAAAATAAGTAGCTTGTTAGGATATCGGAATGTGAATTGAATACATTTTAATATTATTTATTATCCTCCTCTGATTTGACTGGTAACAATATCTTCCATATCTCTGGTATATGTGTTGAGTCACTTCTGCTGCATCTGTTGGGTGCAGACTCGATGAATCGGGATTCATTTATCAGTCTCTCTCTGTCTCCCACCTATATTACTTTTTAGAATTTTGACTGTGTCCCACCCTATCGTATGGCTGCTTGTTAATCCATGCAGTGCAATCGGTGGGCTTTTTTCTAAATTACTTGTCTTCTCAGGGTCAGCCATTCTCACCTTAACTAAATCCTTATGTTCCGACAATCTGACTACCGTCGACCTCTAATAGTTTGACCTCACTCACAGTCATTGCAGAGTATTTTTTAAATTACATTATTTTGCCTAATTGAGTCAACTGGGTTCTTTAAACCTACTGAGTTTGTCTCCCCCCTGAGTGAATTTGTAGGTTTGAATGCCACCCTAATTCCTGCTTTATTGAGAATCCTACGTGGGGCCTCATATGTCCCCTCCTTATATATGGTATAACAGTTATGGTAACGTAAATAATATAGAATATAAGGCATCTACCGTATTATTTACTGGATGACGTTTTAAACAAACTTTATTGTTCATAATCATATCAAATATAATCACACGACTTTAAAGCTTGAGCTTTATAGTTTTCTTTATTTCTTTCTATTCGTCATCCTAAGGGTAGCAGAATTTCCCAGATATCTGGGACAGGTGTTGAATCACGCGTTTGCAGTTGATTCGATAAATAAAGCTTCCGTTATCAATTTTTCCCTCCACCCTGCTATTGCATTAGATTTTAAAACTGTCATCCTATCTCATCCTGTTGTATGGTTGTGTGTGACTGCATGTAGTGCTATAGCTGAACTATTCTCTAGATTTCTTATCTTATTCGGGTCAACCATTCTAGATTTTGCTAGGTTTTTATGCTCGGCTAGTCTGACTCACTGCCTGCCCCTGTTCTACTAGTTTGACCTATGTATTTGACCTGAAAATCATTGTAGGCAGGGTATTAGATAAACTAAATGGTTTTGTTCAATTGCCTTCACAGAACTAATCCTTTAACTGACGAAGCTTATTTTTAATTGAGTTTGTGTGTGTGTGTGTGTGTGTGGGGTGGGGGGGGTTCCTGCCTTGTTAAGAATTCTAAGTAAGTTTTCTCAGCTTCCTTCTTTGTATGGAAGTACTGCTGATGAATTAAAGCTAATTTGAGCTACTATATTATCATTATTATTATCATCTACGAATGCATTCTAAAACAATATTGAGTGATTGGCTTTTTTATCTCTTTACAGTTGGCCAAATCTTTGAAATTAGTAGTCTGTCCAAATATTCAAACGTTAGAAACAATGTGGCGTGATCGATTGATATGTCAATTGGCTAGTGAAAAACTTGGTGAAGTAAGTCTGCCTTTTCTCTTAACCCTCCACCCCCACCGTGGCTCTTTTATTCACCTTATTCTGCGTTTTTATTTTGCTGTAAAATGATATTCTTATTTTGCCTTTAATGTTAATTTATTTAGGCTTGTGGTGATATTCTATCACACTTATTATGCATTGCTACAGCTGCTAATCGTGGCACAGGAATAACTTCTCCAGAATCAGGAGCTGTTTCACGTTCAGAGGTGAGATTTGTGCATTTGTATTTTGTTGCATTTTTTTTACTGCTGTTAATTCATTTGAGTAGATATAGATGTTCATACAATTGGTTTCCTTGATAAATTTCGATAAAGAAAGGAAGACGAAATTTGCAGTATAAAATGATATCATCATTCTATTTCACAGGCTCTCATCAGCTGCACACCACTATCTGAAATTACAATGGTTATATAAATGATAATAACATACTTTAATGTTTGAGTGGTAGTAGAGAAGAGATACTATAAAATTGACGCATCGAAAGTGAAATCACTACAACTTTTAGTTTAAGTTTTCATCATCAATTTATACGCTTTTAAAGTTGAATAAAGGGGCAAGGGTAAGACAGAAGACAGAACAAATTAATTAACAGAACAGTGTTAGCTTGTAGGTTCACAAAGCAACTCAAAAAAACAAAAGCGGTTACAGTTTATGAGATTAAGATTTGTTCAGTGAGTTGAGGTCACTGAATTAGATGACTAATTAATGTAATCAAAATGAAAATTCAGTTACCAAGGTAGTGAGAGGTTAATCACACTCTCTTTCTGTATGCATAAGTCTGGTTTAAATCGTTTGATTGAGATCGCTTCGGCAAATCGTAGTAAATTTGCTGTCCTTTGTCTATTTGATATTATGAAGGACTTAGAAATCTTTACGAGATATCCGGTATCAATAATGTGTCTGATAATTGCACTCTGGGAATATCTGCTTCCTTTCAGGCACAGGTTTCTTGGAATATATTCAGAAAAGCGGATAGAAACCCTTCTTTCTGTCCTTCCAATGTATTTAGTCCCGCAAGTGTACGTAAATTCATAAACGCAGTTGGAGGTGACATCAGCAGGGTATTTATCCAGTTTTGAGTGGCTTATAGAAGGAGTGGTGCTGTATAATGTCATGAGTTTTGCTGCCGGGAAGCTTCTATTTTTATTTCACCTTTCAGTCTTTTGTCAATCTTTCGTGACACTGCATCTCCTTTGAATGGGAGACAAATAAACACTTTTTTTTCTTTTCTACAGTTGGACGCTTTTCCTTCTTATCTTTTTCTCTGCTGTACTTCTGTATAAATCCCTTAGGCTATGCATTTTCTCTTAGGCATTTCTCGACGAAATCTAATTCTTCTTCGACCTTGTTTGGTGAACATAGCTTTCTGGCTCTGTCATGCAAAGCCCTCACTAATCCACGTTTATAACTTATGGGACAAAAGCTGTCATAGTGAAGATATTGTCCAGTCCAGGTTTCTTTTTCTGTAGATGGATTTTTTTATTCATTGAAAGATATACATGTGACTGACTGGTTTCAGCGTAGAACTTTGCACATATATGCATCAGTCCGAGTTGTCACACTCTCTGTCCATGTAGCACAGAAAACCAGAGAAGAGAGTAAAACGATATTCAAAACAGAGATAAGTGAAAGAAATGTTACACCAAAAAAAAATAATAACATTGAAGAACTACAGAATTTTATTGGATATTATAAATCACAAGGAGTGAATTCATCTGTGCCAGCAGCCATTGTGAACGATTTTGAGCCAGCTATATCACCAATTGTCTCCAGCCTTCATTCGTTCCTAGCACCACAAATCTGATATCTCTACGTGGTTGACTGGACTAAACTAACTGTTGTAGATTTCATTGACTGGATGAGGCCATGTTTTTTTAGTTTGACCACTGTATGCTAGCTCTTCTCCAACCTGATCCATCCTGTCAGTCAGTTAACATTAACTGTTTTCGAGGAAGGCGATGGTTTAACATGCATAAGACAACACAACATATCGTAACCATCTCAATCAGTCACTTGTGCAGGAATAACCAGTAGAATTAGGATGACTCAATGACCGTTGGTTGGTGATGTGGCTTAAATTCGTTCTCAATAGTCGTGTGTTGAAAATCCAGCTGAAAATCAGATTCATTGAGTATACTTGTATATAGTTGTGTAGTTCTTGTTGCTAAGTCAGTCCGTAACAACAGAAGACCAGGGTCAGGCAACAGATCGTTTATTTAGGAAATCAACAGATATTTATCGATTTTCATGTACATTATTATACATTATTCAAAGCAAACAAACACAGTCTTCTGATTGGTGGTTTCTCACTGAACGTAGGTCTTTCATCTCTTTGTGGCCGTTTATTGAAGTTCAGATTATCATCTATCTGCAAAATGTATCCGCCAACGCAAACAAAGTCTGCTGTGATTGGTTGTTGAATCAGTCTTTGTTCTTATTTTTCCCACGAACAATATTGGCTACCACTTTTGGCCAGCAGCCACCTCTCACCACAAGCCAAAAACAGGACTATGAACTAACTAGGATTTGGCCATTTGAAAAAAAATGTATTTGGTGGATTTGACAACAACATGTACTATATCATTAGTTCCTATGTGCCTATATTTTGTTTACTAGAAGTTAATTAAAGAAACTAGAGTGGCTCAGTGATTCTAAAATGCATTGAGCATCTTTCTCTATGGTCATTTATCAATCATTACGGATAATATTATAGATTACTAACTGGTTTGTGTAGTAAGACCGTTCTTGAAGTACGAACGAAGATCGGAATACACACTAAGCACTTACGTTTCAAATTCAATCATTAGTACTTTGTTAGGTTAACACCATCAAGTGTTGATTTGCGGAGATGATGTGCTTGGTTATAGTTTTGATCACGAGTTGGTATCACTTAGAGAACTACTAGAAAGACAGCTGCTTCGTCCTAGTTTGGAAATCTTCACCAGTCGGGGTTCGAACCCACGACCTTCTGCTGAGTAGACGAACTCGCAGACTATTCAGCTACTGGGTCCCGACGCAGCGGGGTCCATGAAGCCAGGTAAGGACACAGTTACTTGCCGGTGATATTTACTAGTGGTTGCGCTATACTTTGCGAATCGGCAGAAATAGGAATTCATGGGCCATTGAATTGGGCCCTGGTGGGTAAGTGGTCTACTAACTCACGTTGTAACCAGAAGGTTCTAGGTTCGAACTCCGGTAGTGGGTGCATACTGATGATGAGTTCTAAATTAGGACGAAAGGGTTGTCCAGTACTCCCAGGTTTTTCAACGGTCCTCTATTTGGTGTCAGCTCGTCATGAAATCTTTACGTCAACATCAGTTGTCTATGTCAGTTAATTTTATTAATAGTTGTCTCCAACGACTACTACTACTAACACTTATGTATAAATGATGTTTTGTTATTCAGCTTTTACGAAGTATGCGAACTGTACCGGATTTCGTATCTTCATACATTTCTCTCCTGGTAGATGATGAGGTAACTTCATTTGGTAATTTTGTTAGATTTTAGTTTTTGTACTTCCGATAAAAAAGCAACAATTCATGTTTTAATTATTACTTAGTTTCTTTCTTTATTCATATTTGCGTCGGCGCTTCAGCAGCAGTATGCTCGCCAACCACGCCTAACGTCGTCTGGTGTTCGATTCCTGGCTGACACACTCGTAAACTTCCCTTGGCCAGTATGAAGCCTAGTAAAGAGGGAAGGTTCAGCGTGAAACCAGCGACCTCGCCTCATAAAAGGCAACATCATACGAGCTACTGAAACGTCGAAGCCCGATATTCCACTCTGAACGCAAAGAAATTAAAATTTATTTATATCTTTTCACTATTCTACAAATAGTGCATGTGTAGCAGTAAACATTATCTAACTTTGTTGTGTCATCTCTAAAGAGAGTTCCAACTGTTACACACCTGGGCAGCTTTTTCACCCTATACTCTTTAGGACTCCTTAGTAGTGCGCAACCACGACCCCGTTAGGGGTCGGACCGGGGGACCCTCAGGTTACAATACCAGGATTTTAAATCATTCAGTCATTTGGGCCGCAATTCAATGATTCGTGAATTCTCACGTCACTTATTCAAACAGTGCCTTCGCTGAGCATACACTTCATCTTGGGCTGATGAATGCCACTGGTCAACAAAACACGTGAATCTAAATATGAATCTTCATTCACTGATCACTTCTGAATCGATGTCGTGAAGCTGTAGTAGCTAGATGTCGTCCTTAGTTGGGGTCCACCATATTCCACGGTGATGTATGTGTTCATCGAATGAATTTGTTTAGAGTGACACTATACCACAAGTTGACGAAGTCAGAATTCACGGATCATCAAATTCCCATCCAAGGGGTTGAATGGCTAATAAGCTTGGTCTCTTGTAACCTGAGGGTCGTAAGTTCGATTCCTTTTGGAACCTTAGGTGCTATACATTGATGAAGGGTTTCGAAGCGGGATGAAACATCTGTTCATTATTCCCTGATGGTTTTCTCTATAGCCGACCTACATTAGATGTAGGTCACTTTTATACTAAAAGGAAGTAGAAGGGTTAAATTGCCAAGGTATGTTTTTCGTTTTTTAATAAACGAAATATTTCTATATTGAGTCATACGAAAAAGACGTCAACAGCGAAGAAAATGGTCTTTTCGGCGACTCATTTTTATAAACTCTACAATCGTAATTATATTTGACAAAGAAATCAAAAGACCATTATGGGTAAATTTTTGTTTTGATAAAGTATCACAGTGTTATACAGTAATGTTTACTGATGACGTTTTGAGCACAATTTATTGCTCAAAATCATATCAAGGTAATCACACGACTTCCTAACCTCATTTATATAGTTCCATTATTTTCCATCGCTTGATTTTCACTTGATTTGATTGGCAGTAGTATTTTCCATATTTCAGGTATGAGTGATGACTCATTCCTATTGCATGTGTGTTTGGTGTAGACTCGATGAACTAGGATTCAGTAATCAACCTCTCTCTCCACGCACCTACTTATATTAATTTTTAGAATTTTAACTTTCTCCCACTCTATTGTGTGGTTGTGTGTTAATGCATTAAGTGCAATTGCTGAGCGTTTTTTCTAAATTATTATCTTCCCTGGGTCAACCATTCTGATATTGGCCAAATTCTTATGTTCCGATAATCTGACTACACCTGACCTACTAGTTTGACCTAAGGAGTTAACGTAACTCGCAGCAAACGCAAGGTATTTTGTAAATTATATTAATTTGCCTAATTGGGTCAACTGGATCCTTTAACCTACAGAGCTTGTCCCTGACTGAGTTTGTAGGTTTAAATGCCACCCTAATTCCTGCTTTATTTAGAATCCTACGTAGGGTTTCAGATATCCCCTCTTTATATGGTATAACTGTAGATGACTTATATTCTCTCTTATTCATGTTATTATTACTAGTTCCACAATTATTTTTATTTTTCGTTTGGCCTTTCTCGATCTTCCTAATGAATTTTAAAGGATAGTTATTTAACACCAACGCCTCTTCTATCTGTTTTGGTTCATCACTTAGGTCTTTTCTTGTGCTGCTTAGTGCTACTGCTCGGTTTGTTAGACGCTTAACTAAGCCTGCCTTAACAGTCAACGACGGATGAGATGAATTAAAGTCTAAGTATCTATTAGTGGAATGAGTTGGTTTTGTGTACACACTAGTGTGTAGTTTGCCTTCTTCTATTCGTTTTATTTTACAGTCTAACATCACAGCTAATTCTCCTTGTTCATTTTCCGATTCAAGTGTGAATTTTATTCCCTCCACTAGTGAGTTTATGTGTGTCGAGAAGCTAGAGATGCGTTCTGTTTTTAACACTGTGAAAGTGTCATCCACATATCTCCACCATATTTCTGGAGTAGGAGTAAAGGTATTAAGAGCACTACTTTCCCAGCTGTCCATAAATATGTCTGCTACGATAGGGGATATTGGTGATCCCATTGCTACACCTTCTGTTTGTCTATATATTTTACCCTGTAATTTAAAGATAGTAGATGTGAGGCATAACTGAATCCCTTAAATAATTTCTTCAATGGGCAGCTTCGTCCTATGATTGAGTTCAGGATCCGCAGTTGGTACTTTTTTAACTGCTTCTAAGGCCATATTGACTGGTGTATTAGTATAAAGACTAGTTATATCAAAACTAACCATTTTTTTCATCGTTCTCTAGTTGAGTGTCATTTAGTTTATTTTTCATCTCATATGAGTTAGTTAGTCTAGAGTTTGAACGATTTCTAATGGGGAATAATATTAGAGCTAAGTGTTTTGATTATGAGCAATAGATTGTGCTCGAAACGTCGTCATCAGTAAACATTACTGTATAGCACTGTGAGACTTTATCAAAACAAAAATTCACCCATAATGGAATTATAGTCTACCACAGTGCACAAGTTTTATTCTTATATGAAATCATAAGGCCAACCAGATGCTGGTAAAATTTGTCGTCGAAAAACGTAACCTGGATAGGGTGACTAATTGGAAGCTATAAAGAGGCAGAAATTGACATGACGTAATAAGTGTGAGATAATGACCAATCAGTATGACTGTGTAGATTGAGCAGGAATTAATGGAAACATCATAAAGTGTTTTTATGTAAGCACTGTATGAAAACGCAACGTTATTAATAAACAGTAATAGAGTGATAATAAAAGACGAATGATGATAATAATAATAATATTAGTTATAACAGTAGACTTAGATAACAAAAGGAAGCAAAATTAATGTTAGAAATTTACTCTGGCAACGGTCGGGCGAGTGAACACATGTAGTGCTTTTGAATGTAGAGGTCCAGTTTCAGATCCCAAATAGCCAATGATGATTCAGTTATGTAGAGATGGCGTATTCTAAATCCTTTTGTACGATATTGAGGGACTCTGTATAGGACTATGCAGCATTTGTGCAGGGGTGCTCCATGTCCAGAGTTGACAAGTTGTTCGAAGATAGAGCTGCTGTTATTCTTTTCTCCTCTGGCTAACCAAGCTGAACAGTGTTCCAGAATACGTTTGGGGACTTGACGTTGCATACGGCCGATATACTCTGCTCCACACGAGCAAGTAAACTAATTAATACACATTGAGGTGGTCAAAAGCGGTATCTTGCCCTTAAAGTTAGACCGAATTAATTGTCTTCCGGAGAATGTGATACGTAAGGTGGCTGTTGGAAATGTCTTCTTCAGAAATTTAGAAAGGGGATTTCTAAGAATTTCTGCTTCAGTGTCACCTTTGAATTCCAGGTTCATGCAGAGAGTTTTCTTAGGAACAGTTGTGATTTTTGGCGACAGAGACTTTTTCATGTTTTTGTCCATGAATCTTAGAAGATAGCTGTTCTCGATTAGAGTTTCATGTAGTGGGTTTAATGCCTTGCCTATCCTATCTTCCGAACACGATTTCTTCTAATCATTGAACTTATTGTACGTTCTAGATTTTGCTTTCTTCGTTTAATCCATTCTTTTAATGAATTGCCCTTTGTTTGTTTTTTACTGTAAATTATTTTTTAGATGAAATTTCTGTTACAACAACCTGGATTGGGCGGATATATGTACACATGTCGTATCCTTTCAATTACTGTACATAGCAATTATTACCAATATTTTTAAGTCTTTATATTGATTAATGCTATGTGGAAGTGTGTGTAACAGGAGAATCTCATATTAGCATGGGGGATTTCACCATGAGCTAACATCAGTTAGAAAATCACTGGAAAACCTGGGAGTACTGGACAGCTGTTTCGTCCTAGCTTGGGACTCTTCAGTAGTACGCACCAACCGCCATGGTTCAAACCCAGGACCTTCCGGTTACAAGGCGAGCTCGTATACCATTAAGCCACTGGGACCCGATCCAATGGTCATTGAATCCTAACTTCTGCCAATTCACGACATAGCGCAACCACTTCGCAATGTCTTCTTCGATGAGTTACTGCCTCATCTTCAACCTGCTGTACCCTACCGGTCACGGCTTCCCACTAGAACCCTAGGTTAACTGCCTGAATAGGGTCAGTCAGCTCATGGTGAAATCCCCCATGCAATCAAACGAAATCCCTACAAAACCAATGCTTGAAAATTTCATATTTATTGTCATGTTTTTTAAATTTTTAATTAAGTTATATGTCACTGTATTTTTCTGAATGTTATTTCTTGAAATCAATCGGCAGTAGGAGTCCGTCGGCCTAGTTATAGTATTCATCAACCTTGGGGAAGACTTATATTCCCTCCGAAATGTAGACGAGCATCTGTTAATGTCTGTTATTGATTACACCATCAAACTTGTTGAGTTTATAACTAGTCTTCTGTAGGACTAATTAAATTTACACGCTTAGGTGTTGCCTCACGATGACCAATTTTAGTTGTCTAGCCAACACTTGGGATTGAACAGGTATATATATATATATGTAGGTAATCATTTAGTGGCCGATTCTCACAAAATCTTGTTTTGATAGGTGATCTTTAAGACAGTTGAATAATTACGAAGTATTAGTTTCTTTAGGTTTTGGGTGTGTTTTAAGTTTGACCACGAATTGGTGTGAGTTAGAGAAGAGAACCTTTCAAAAATCGGACGGTACTGGACGACGGTTTCATCCTAGTTTGGGACTCCTTAGCCATATTCACCCATAGCCCTACCATAGATCTAAACCCATGGCTTTCAGGTTACGAGTCAAGCTCGTTAACCATTTAGTCATCGGGACGCAATCCAACCGCCCATAAATTCCTACTCTTATCAATTTTACAACGCCATGGCCAGCCAGTGTCATCAAAAATTAATCTAAAGCTGACTAGTGACTGATTGCAGGGCGAAGTTGCTTGAAGTCCAAGTGAAAAGTCGGCCACGAAATCGTACCGATGACGTTGGCTGGCCATGGTGTTAAAATTGCCAATTAACAGAAGTTAGAGTTGGTCGGTGATTGGATTCTTTCCCAGTAGCTGAGTAGTAAACAAACACATCTCGTAATCTGAAGTTCCCGGGTCTGATTACCGATGAGGTTATTGCTGCGCACAAGTGAAGAGTCCCAAAATAGGACGAAACAGAGGTCGAGTACTCGCTGGTCGGTTTTCAATATTTCTCTGGCTTATATCCGTCCTTGATCAAATTTCAAATAATTCACCGTGTATGTACGTATGCTACAAACAATAACATACTACGGGATTATTCCAAGTCGTCATCATAGTAAAAAAATATTCGATGTGGCTGCATTCTTTGAGCTGGTTGGTAGTTGGATTGCTAAGTTGTTAGACAGCATCTTCAGCGCACGCTTTGATATAAAGTGTCAAGTTACTTGGATTCTCCATGTGAACGATATAATTGTATTTCCTGACAACCTCCTTTGTCGTGGTTGGTTGTTAATTTACATCTTTCCCGATCTTCTTAATTGACTTGAAATTTGAAATTTGAAATTTTTCCACTCGGTACTGACTTCACATTGAAGTTGAAAATCCAGTTCTTATTTTCCATGCTTAGTGCTGTTGATCTCCTCCACACAGACTTGAGAGTAATGAAAGCTTGCCTTGCTTTCCCGATGATCCTCGCTTTGATATCCTCACTAGTTCCACCTGTAGTTGAAACGGTGCTTCCCAGGTAGGTAGGTAGGTAGGTGAAAGAGTTTGCTTCTCTCAGATTTCTCCCACTTTTGCTGATTATTGTCTGTTGTTGTTGCTGTTGGCCAGGAATCTTCATCACCTCTGTTTTCTCTATGTTCACCTGAAGTGAAGTCCTATCTTTGATGCTTCCTCTGCCAACTTGTTGCTTTTCACTTGCATATCTGTAACAACAGAAGACAAGGGCCAGGCAACAGATCGTTTTATTATGAAAATCAACACGTATTTATACATATTTCACATACATTATTATAGCTTATGCAAGTAGACAAGCGCAGTTATCTGATTGGTTGTTTATCAGAAGTTAGGCAGACAAACGCAGGCTTCTGATTGGTTGTTTCGGGATTCCTCGACAAATAGAGTTCTCTATCTGCGAATCATATTTTGCCACGTTAACTTTGCTGTGATTGGTTGTTGAATCAGCCTTGCTCATATTTTCTCACGGCCTGCTTTCACCACACTCGTCCCCCCGTCAAATACGTGCGACTGAAGTCAGCTTGATCTACTTGGTGCAGGCGTCATCGTTGGCTTGTCTCGCTGTATCCATTTCTGGAGCTCGCTGACGTTCACGCGCCTCTCATTGTTCGTCATTGCGATTGTGTCCGCGTAATCCCATCTCGAAGTGACCATATATGGTCCTTCCCACTTTGGAAACTGTTTGCCTGACCCTGTCGAACATTCGTCAGTATTTCGTCTCACACTTTCATATGCTGCTTTCACCCGACCTCCCAGCAGCGTCCCAAGTAGCAGCTCCATCGCTGACAGATCTTGAACGCCACTCAACTGCGCAGAAGCCTTGAAGTCCTGCCCGAAGATCCATATGTCTCCATCAAAAACAGCAGGGCATAGGCTCTCCATTTGTCGGTAGGCAGCGACACCAAATGTAACAACAGAAGACAAGGGCCAGGCAACAGATCGTTTTATTATGAAAATCAACACGTATTTATACATATTTCACATACATTATTATAGCTTATGCAAGTAGACAAGCGCAGTTATCTGATTGGTTGTTTCGGGATTCTTCGACAAATAGAGTTCTCTATCTGCGAATCATATTTTGCCACGTTAACTTTGCTGTGATTAGTTGTTGAATCAACCTTGCTCATATTTTCTCACGGCCTGCTCTCACCACATATCTTCCAGTTTGTGAGAAATCAGACATATATCACATCGGCGAAATCCGTATCCTCCAAGTTTTCTTTGTGTGGATCCATTTTATGCCTAACTCGTTGCCTGCTGTCTGTGTACCGCAATCAGCAAAATGATTGGAGATAATAGGCAGCCAATTTGTCTTATTCCCGTTTTCACTTCGAAGGATTCCTTGAGTTTCCCCTTGTGGATTACTTGGCATTCAGCAATACCGTAATATGGGAACAGTTTGTTAAAAAAATTACGAAGTTTTGACCAATCTACCTACTTGCTATTTCGAGTGATAAAATTTTATTTTTCTACACATAAATATTTAAAATACTTTCCTTAATATTTAAAATAAAATTAGCCTATAAATACGTTGTAAAACATCTATTCGTCAGGAATGTCGAGTATATTATTCAAATTTTGTAAGTTCTATTTTTGTGGCCTTTGTATATCTTGCATGCTAATTGATTTTTTTTGTGATGCTGTTTGTCTTCATTGTTCCTGATAAAATAGTTTGCATGCTTCATTCATTCATTCACTAGAGGGCCTGACTGTCTGTACGATCGCCCATAAGCTTCTTTTAGATCTCTTATATATATATATATATATATATATATATATATATATATAATTTTGTATGTATGTGTACATTAAGTTTTAACTTATGTTAAATTCCCATTGTAACATATGGAAAATCAAAGCAAGTGATTTCGTGAAGAGACTCTTTTCAACGAATTTATCATCAAGCTGTACAATCGTATGTATATGTGGTTTTTAAGAAGTTATATCCAGTGAGGGAATTGAATCATAGGTGTCATTGCATAAAATAATAATAATAATAGTAGTAGTATGAAATGCAATTAAAAACTAAAATGTTTGTGATTATAATCATAGTTAAATGTCAAGTGGCAAAGCAAATTAATGTCATATAGAGAATAATTCATAGGATAAATGGAACTTGAAAAGGAGTGGAAGTGGAGCAACAAGAAGCGCGATCATTGAATATCTGGTCGACAATGATCACCCTATCGCTATAGCCTCCGCCTTTGAAGTCATCTACAAGGCAAAGAGTAATATACCCAAATCCCTACGTAACCGACTCATCTGTATTGCTGAAGCTTTGGCTATCGAAACAGAAAAGCCAGATCTCTGTGTACAGAAAAAGTTCGTTCAAACCCTCCAGCTTTCATGATCTTAATCCCTCTATGCTAAAGTATGGTAATCCCTAATCATATTTTAGCTCTACCAATTTTTTGTTTTGTCTATACAATTTGTATACTCTTCCTTATTAAGTCAATTGTTACTATTACTACTCTCAATTTGAACTGTCCCCGGTATTATTTCACTTGTTCCACTTGTCATTCTAAATCAATTCTTTTTTACAACGTTAAATTCTATGTTATCAAATTTCACACAATATTACGTAACGTTTTTATTTTATTCGATTTGTCTACTAATCTTGTAATTGGACACCCTTTTCCAAGTTCTATCTACTCTATGAATTATTCTATGTATGACATAAATTTGTTTTGCCACTTAACATTTAACTACGATTATAATCACAAACATTTTAGTTTTAATTGCATTCCATACTATTATTATTATTATTATTATTATTTTATGCATACACACCTACAATTCAAATCACACACCGGATATATTCTCTTAAAAACCATATATTTGTATACTATTGTACAGCTTGATGATAAATTCGTTGGAAAGAGTCTCTTCGCTGAATCACCACTTGTTTTGATTTCCTATACATTTAAGTTTGTCAAATAAAAATGCAATTGGTTATGGTTATTTTAACTAAACAGGTGAAGATTAGTTGTTGGAGTTACGTAATACGAAATAAGTCAAGAAAATTAGGTGTTAATGAATTTAGGGTAGTAACAAAGGTGACGAGTTGTCACAAATTACTGTTAAATAAGAAGTTATGTAATCATAATATGAATAGTTTGATGATTGAGTTTTACTCAGGATACACATAGGAACAAAGTAGAGAATACGAAATTACGTAAGAATTCCAAATGAATACAAGAATCACAAGCAATTAAAGAACAGAGAAACAAACAAAATTAAGTCATGAAAAATCAAAAAAGTTGTTACCATGACAGTAGAAGTGGTTGAGTAATCCTCTTTTATATGCACAGCTCCGGTTTTCCTATGTGATATTTGAAAACTACAAACAATCCTTGTCGAGTAAAATTTGAGTGTTTGCAACAAATAGAGAAAACCAACAAAGGGATTTAGATTGTCAACTATTAAGCACTGCCAGAAATTTGATGTCATACCGTTTGCTACACCATAACATTAAAAGACAGGTAATCATTCTACGAGTGTGTCGGCGGCACAGTGGTAGAGTGCTCGCCATCGACGCAGGTGATTCGGAGTTCGATCCGCGGCCACAGACTCATTCCTTTACCTCGCCAAGGCGGTGATAAGATTGGCAAAGAGGGAAGGTTGGGCATGAGGCTAGCAACCTCACTCGTAAAAGTAAACACCACTGCTGCAGAAACTCCGAGCCTCCAGCTTGAAGCCCTATGTTCTACGAGGACCGCTAAAAAAATAATTCTGCAAACAAAACTCACGATAGGATGATTAATAGACAGCCCTGTATATCAAAATGTACTTGTATTATTATTATTATTCTGTTGGGTTGCAAATGGAACATAAACCTTCAGTAGCACATATATGTTTCAGTCAGTTCTCCGCAGTCCCCCCATAGTTTTTCACTTCCTCCACTTCACATGATCTCGTCAGTGTCACTGTCAGATTTACAGCCAACTTATCGTTTTCCTTTCAAGTTACAGTCAACCGATGGTCTGATGTACAATGTCACCAGATGGTTTCCCCTGGGTGTGTCCGATCCATCTCCAATTTCTTCGACATATTTTCTGACCAATAAGATCTTGATCGGTCCTTTCCAAGAGTCCTCTACTTCTCATTCTTCCCGACCAGCCAACTCATCTTCAATATAGAACCAGTGGAGGAGACAACTGTTAGCAAATGCATGTTGTAATCTTTTAGAAATGTTTCTGGTGACACGAGTGCCATTTTTTCCCACCACCCTCATAGAAGAACTGACTTACATAACATCGGTGTTCGAAATCCGATTTCAGATTGATGAAGGTGTCTCTTGCCTTTCTCATCCTGACTTTTACTTTCTCATCCATTCCACCTGTGGTTGAAACAAGGATTCCTAGATAAGTGAAGGAAGTGAGTGGCCTGTTTCAAATTTCTCCCACTGATAGTGATTGGTTCTGGTTGTTGTTGTTGTTGTTGGTTGGCTGGTTGGTTATCTTCATCGCCTCCGTCTTCCCTATGTTCACCTGAAGTTCTGTCTTCGCTGCTTCTATAGCCAGTTTGTTGGTTTTCCCCTGCCTGTGTGTTTTCGAGTGTATATGGCATTAGACATATGTCAACCACATGCGAAATCCAGATCTTCTAGAGTTTTCTTATCAGTCGTCGTCCAGCGTATTCATGTCTCTTCGCGTTTCCTGTGCACAGTCTGACGCATAATCCAGTTCATCACAATTAAGAATATTATCGTGTGTGATAATAGACAACCCTGTCCTACTCATGTATTCACTTCAAACTACTCCTTGAGTTTTCCTCTGTGCATCGCCTGACATGAGCTATTGTCATATAGCTGTTGAATGAAGTTGATACAGATTCGAACCACGCCGTAGTGTTGAATTATTTTCCAAGTTGTATCGTCGTCAACGCCGTCGAAAGCCTTTTCAAAGTCGATGAAGTTAAGGTAAAAGTTTGACTTTCATTCTTTGCCTTGTTCGATGATGATGATGATGATGATGCATAGAGTTGCAATTTCATCGGCACATGATATGCCTTTCTTCAATCCAGCTTGTTCCGGTTGGTGGCAGAGTTCTGCATCCAGTGCATCTTTTATTCTCTCCAGGATGACGCGACTTATTATTTTACTTGGTATGAGTGGACAAGAGCGTTGCTTCGCGCCAGTTTTTGCAGAGGCCTAAGTTGCCCTTCTTTGGCAGTTTGACAAGATGGTCTTTATTCCAATCACTAGGTGCACTTATTCTTCCTTTCAAACCTTTTTTCAATAAAGGTCTATAGTCGGTACGTCTTCTGTTAATATTATTGTAGGGTTAATGTGTCATTGCACATTCCTTATTTTTTTTTTTTTCAAACGTGTTATTACCTATGGTATTTCGTGAAGAAAAACGTTATAAAACGTAATATTGCTTGTTATTCAAGATTATGAATAGATATTCCCTCATGTTTTCCTCCTAGATTTGATACAGGCGGTTTACGGATTTTCCGATATCTATTACTTACAGGACCGTCAAATTTAGAAGAGGTAAGTGATAGATTATTATTTATTTTGTCACCTTGGTTTCAAAGTAGAATGTAGGGTTTCAAAAGCATATCTCCATTTCATCGTGTTGTCTGCGGTACTCTGTAGATGGCTTAGTGATTATTGCCTATAAGTCCCCGTCTCCACCCCACACATATAGTTTCCTTCATGTCAGCCTGGGACGCCTAATTCTTCTTTCTCCACTAAGGTTCCGCACACAGGTGACGATCTAACGTGTGATGTAACCGAACTGTCTCTTCAGAGTGTGTCAGATCGGTATATTTGTAAAGTGATGCCAGTTACAGTACTGTTAAAACTGACCAAGAATCCAGACAGACAGACAGACAGACAGACCAAGAAGTACTGAACAACTGTTTTGTTCTAGTTCGGCACTGTTTAATAGTACGCACCCACCGGAATTTGAACCTACGACTTTCAGGTTAGACGACAAGACGATTTTATAGACCATTCGACCTCTGGGATGGAGTGGAACGGCTCAACCACCAGCTAATAGTTCTCTAACTAATGTCAGTGTGCTTTCGATCATAGATGTCTGCGATCTCTTTCTCACGTTAGGTGGTTTAATAAGGTAAGTAATGTTGACGTTAGGCATAGAGTGTTGGGCAAAGAGGGAAAATCAATCGACGAGGCTATGAAGGTACATAGACTGAGATGGCTAGGTCACGTGATGCGCATGCCTAACCACCGCCTCCCCCGACGGGCACTGCTAGCTGATATAGGTGCAGGTTGGAAAAGAGCCAGTGGTGGCCAAACAAAAACATGGTATCAGTCCATGAAATCCTTGACAGTTAAACTGAGTCGGTCAGGTAGGGAGATGCAGACTCCCGGGTTGGGGCCCTCGGGACTCTAGGAATCAATGGCTGGAGACAATAGGTGACATGGTTCAAAATCGTTGTCAATGGCCAGCGCAGATGTATTCAGTCTCTGTAATCTTTCATATTCCTTTCTACCATTACCCATTCTGTTTCACTCTTATACTTGTCAAACTCCATTGATTCTCTTCACTCATCTTCTTGTCTACTTTTGTGTGTGTGCTATTTGGAACGTGGCAACTCGAACTGCTGCACTTCGGTGCCAAGTTCTATGTTGAATCCAGACAGACAGATAGAACTAATGTCAGCTAGTGATTGAACCTTTGAAGAATTAAATCCTTGCAAACTGACACTTGATAATTTCTGATTTATTCGTGAATTCATGGATGCTCTTGTAGTACCTGTTATTATTTGAATCCTGTCATAGGATTATCGGAATGCGTACGGATGATTAGTGTTTCAATGAATTTCCATTGTTTTATTGTATTGAGTTAGTTGTTAGATCTCAGTCCCGTCGACCAAATTTCACACATACCTGTGTATGAATCGCATTTATTGTATGCTGATACTGTCCAGTCGTTGAAACTAAAGGTGGAGAATGGGGGTGTCTGACCCAGGAACTACTTATTACCTGAAGGCTGGCTTAGTGTAGTGCTTAAGCCAATAAATTACATTTCAATAATGGATAAATAAGAAATATCTGGAAATTCGTTTATTTATGCACGTACGTCTAAGTTAGTAAAATTCCACTATACCATATTTGGCACTTACTGTATGTGATGAAAGTAGTGTTAGGCATGAACTAACTAACTGAACTTCTTTGCACTACTAAATAAACCATTTCCTCCACTCTTACAGTATCAAACTTTGTCGTTATTGTTTCCCTTGTATGTATAATCCTCTCAATTTTTCGTTTTTCTTTGTTAATTTTTTCATAAGTGTTAACATAATTTAAGTTGTGTTATAACTGTGAATTTTTTGTTTCTCCTCACCATACTGCTATATCAGCAGAACATTAGATTCAATAATCTATAACATGCTGAAGTTTCCAAACTGAATCGGCAATACTGTTTGAAACAAACTCACTGTTATTTTTATTGTTGTCTTTAATATTCTCAATTCGTGCTTCGAATATTTGTGACGTTATATCGTAAACGTGGACAAATTCCTCTGGTTAATTTTGTTTTAATTTCATTTATATTTTGAGTAAATCGGATGCAATCTTGTGATAAATGCTGAGAATTCCATTCTGCATTATAAGTACTGTTTTTGGAATAAAGTAGATTTTTTTTTTACGAGTTGATCACGGATTGATATCAGTTATTATTATTGTTTTAAACGAAACTGTATTGATTTTGTTTTTATAGATTGAACGAAGAGTTCTACTACCTCAGAGTGATTTCCGACGAATACTTCCGCGCATGGTATCTATGGGTTTCATTGCAACAACTGTAAGTACCTTTTTTTTATTACAGCTTGATGCCACACCGTATATTCGGTACAAGTGTGGAATTTTCAGCATGTGATATCGGTAGCCCAAATTTTGCGGGTCGACCATAGATATCGGGTGTGCGTCGGCAGGGCATCGAACCCCGGACCATGTGCATGGTTGGCGAGAGTCCTAACCACTGTGCCACCTTAGAATATACTTCAGTATTTTTTTTCCAACATAATATTCAACTCATCTTCTTTCTCTACATTGGTGTTAAGGGTCCTATATATATCTGTATATTTAAAAGTACATTTTGGCGTAATTAGAAATGTTTGTACCTGGAATAAGAGGCACCAATCACTATCAATGGAAGAAATTTGAAACAGGCCACTCACTTCCTTCACTTATCTAGGAATCCTTGTTTCAACCACAGGTGGAATGGATGAGAAAGTAAAAGTCAGGATGAGAAAGGCAAGAGACACCTTCATCAATCTGAAATCGGATTTCGAACACCGATGTTATGTAAGTCAGTTCTTCTATGAGGGTGGTGTTCGTGGGTAAAATGGCACTCACGTCACGAGAAGCATTTCTAAATGACTACAACAGGCATTTATTAACAGTTGCCTTCTCCACTGGTTCTATATTGAAGATGAGTTGGCTGGTCGGGAAGGATGAGAAGTAGGGGACTCTTGGAACGAACCGATCAAGATCTTATTGGTCAGAAAATATGTCGAAGAAATTGGAGATGGATCGGACACACCCAGGGGAAACCATCTGGTGACATTGTACATCAGACCATCGGTTGACTGTAACTTGAACGGAAAACGACAAGATGGGTGTAAATTTGAGAGTAACACGGACGAAATCAAGTGAGGAGGGGGAAATGAAAAATTATGGGCTGCTGTGGAGACAACTGAGGGGAGGACTGCGGAGAACTGAGTGAAACAGAGATGTGCTATTGAAGCCTTATGTTCCATTTGGAACCCAACGGAATGATAACAATAATACAAATACTTTTTGCTGTGCAGGGCTATGTATTGATCAGCCTATTGTGCGTTTTGTTTGGGGATTAATTTTTTCCCTTAACGTTCTTCGTGGAACATAGGGCTTCAAGGATGGGGTTGCTAGCCTCATACCCAACCTTCCCTCTTTACCAATCTTACTACTGGCTTGATGAGGTAAAGGAGTGCGTCTGTGGTCGGGGATCGAACTCTGAACCATCTGCGTGGTTGGCGAGCATTCTACCATTGTGCCATGGACGCACTCGTATATTAATTTCATGACTTTTAATTTTATGGTGTAGTGATCGATATGATATCAAATTTCTAAGAATACCGAATAGTTGACTATCTAAATCTTTATGTTGGTCTTCTCTGTTTGTTTTTTACTCGACAAAGATCGTTTGTATTATTCAAATATCTATTTAGCGTTTTTGCTTCTCTTATATAACACTATCTTTTCATCAGCATAATAACTTATATGATGTTTTCTGCCATAATCATTATTCGCGTCATTTCTAAAGCTAATTTTTGCAGTTCAACGCGTTACTCAATGTGACGTATACGTATATGTTTAGATTTTAGGCTTTTTCTGTGGAAGTTCAGATAGATTTCCGCATAGATTTCGTTGCGAAACAACACATCAGCTAGAGAGATCATTGAAAACCACCAGGGAGCACTGGATGGCTGTTTCATCCTAGTCTGCGACTCTTCAATAGTGGGAACGCATGACCCCGCCGCGGATTGAACCCCTTTGTCCTCCAGGCTAAGTGGCCAAGCGTGACCTACAAAAATCCATAATCTATATATCAGTGTCCAACACATTTTAATGACTACCGAATAGATGTCCTGAAGACTGTGATTAAGGAGTCATGGCCAATGGGGTCCACCATGTCACTGTGAAGCGGTGCTAATCAAGGAAATTGATTAAAGGTAACGCTGTATGACGAATTGATAGAGCTTAGAATTCACGGGCACACTGAATTCTGGCCTAAGCGGCTGAATTATCAACGAATTTGGTCTGGTAACCCGTGGATACCCGGTTCAATCCCTGTTTTGGGGTCGTGCGTGCGCACTGCTGGAGATTCACAAACTAGGACGAAATAGCTGTACATTGCCACCTGGTTTTCAATGATCTGAGGCTCATAACTGTAATAACTACTGAATATGTAGACACAGACGCAGTCTACATCCCATATACATGAAGGAAACCAATCATCTCTCAACCAGTTGAACAACGTCAAGCGAATGGACCATTAGTGGGGCTTAATAACGCATGACAAAAAATAATTACCCTCACTTTACGCGCAATAGGGTGAAATGGCGAAATAGTTTCCAAGTTGAAATCGCTTCCCTCATTTGCAGGTGGATAAAGCGAAGTGAGGCAGGTAAATATTCATATGACGACAGAAGAAATGGGTCAGGCAACAGATCGTTTATTGAGAAAATCAATAGATATTTATAGATTTTGATGTACATTATTATTCATTATTGTTAGCTGAGAAGCAACGTCTTCTGAATGGTTGTTTTCTCGCTGTAAATTATTTGTCGTCTCTTTGTGGCCGTTTCTTTGAAGGTCAGACCATCCCTGTGCTAATTGTATCCGCCTACGCAAACAAAGTATGCTGTGATTGGTTGTTGAGTTAGCCTTTATTTTTGTTTTTCTCATGGCCATGATTTGGGACGTAAACGCTGACCTAAATTGCTGTCTGCCAATTTTGGCTAGCAGACAGCTCTCATCACATTCATACAGCTTTCAAATACATCTCACCTCCTAATGAGTTGCTCACAAAAAATACCACACCAATCCTGGTAATGAAGCGTCAATGGTCAAATGCCAAAGCACACAGAACATTAAACAATTCTTATCCACATTCTTAGTTATACATTTTTATTAGTTATCAAAATCAAATCTTTATCTAGCGATTTCATTTAATGTTTCATGTCTTTTTGTATAAAATGCGAAACAAATTGACTAGTTCTTTAATTCAGGTTTGATCACGGTTTGATGATGGTTGGAGAACCATTGGAAAACTGGAAATTTGTGGACACCCGTTTCGTCCTAGTTTGGGACTCTTCATCATCATCATCACACATTCTCCACGTAGGACATTCCGGTTACAAGTTACTCTTGAATTCTCTAATTGTTTTTCTCTTTTTTTAAAACTGTGGGTGTTTTTCTCAAGGAATTATCACGGACTAAAGATTATTCAGCCGAAACTATATATTGCTTATATTCAATTAATTTACTTCAATTGGCTAGACTGGTAATTGAACTATCTCAGCATGAAGTTTATCGTTTATCCCTGAGACGTGATCATGAATTCTCACAGAAAAGGTAAGTTAAGTTTCTCATTATTGTGTGTATTTACCCCTATTTTATGTATGAGCTTTTAAGCGCCCCGCTTCATAAGCAGCCTATATGTAATACAGGAGATTTTCTTAAAGCTAATTTGAATATGTTATTTTTTTAGTGTGGTTATGTTTTCTAAGCCAAGTGGTTTGGTTGCTAAACTTTGATTATCCTACTAGACCTTCGATAACTGAAATATAAGTGGAATTGACAAAAGTTAGAATTCATGAAGGTGGCTATTGGTGGTTTCCAGCCTTATTAGGTGAATGGCCAAATGACCTAGGCCTAGTAATCTAATCTTAAGGCCTTGGTTTCAATCTCTGGTGAGTGGTGGGTGTGTCTTTACTGAAGACTCACAAATGAGGAAGAAACAGCTGTTTTTCAATGGCTCTTTAACTGACATAAATCTGTAATGAAACTTGAAAACATTCAAATCTCCACAAGTTACCTCCTGCTGATTGCTTCTAATCACCTAACACCGATTCAGTGCACACTGCGATGAACAGTTACCTAGCTTGGTGACTACACGAAGACAAGGACTAGGCGCACGACCAGTCAAAGTGCCCATTACAGTACTACAGGGAGTCAGTCACCAGCCTGAACAGACCCATGGCAACGTCTCTAGGTGAAGTACACAAAGTGATGCAGGTTTGAATCTCAGAAGGGATATGAGTTCCTTAAGGATTGCACATGCGCCTTGGTAATTGCTGAGTGGAAAGAAGCATGAAACCTAGGTCCAAGACTTCCTGTCGTCGTCGATTGCCCATCGTCCCGTTCACTGAAGAAAACCTTCTTCGCGGCTGAACTCTGACTAACCTTCTATACGAAACCAATGATTCTCACGAGCGTGAAGGTTAAACTATCACTGTTTGCCTCAGCAATGTGCATCTACCAGTTCACCTGCTCGTGTGGAGCTAAGTATGTTGGCTATACCCAGCGTTTGCTATCCAAAAGTATTATCGAACACTTACCCACATTCATGGTTTTATAAAGGAGGAAAAAGATCCCCCACCCCGCAACAGCTCTATTCTGGATTACCTGATCGAATCAGGACACCAAACAAACCCACTGACCAACTTCAAAGTTATCTACAGAATACGTGGGAATCTTGCTAAAAGAGTACGAATCAAACTTCTTCAAACCTCAGAAGCAATGACGATTCTCATGTTAAAACCTTAACTCTGCATACAAAAGCGGAAGTTTGTTCAGTCATTAAATCTACTGTGGACCTGATGTATCTTAACACCGAATACGTTATTTTTGTTTCGTCTTTTTTATGCTTGTCTCTTTTTTAATTGTATAATATTTTCTTCCTCCACCTCTTATTACCACTGTTGTCATAACCTGACTTTTCAATTATTGGTTTTGTAGAGATTTTGTTTGATTGCATGGGGGATTTCATCATGAGCTGACATCATTTAGAGAACCACTGGAAAACCTAGGAGTACTGGACAGCTATTTCGTCCTAGTTTGGTACCCTTCATCAGTACGCACCCACAGCCCGGTTCAAACCCAGGACCTTCTGGTTACAAGGCGAGCTCGTATACCATTAAGCCACTGCGACTCGATCCAATGGTCCTTGAATCCTGTCGTGAATTTGCAGAAATTAGGATTCAAGGACCATTGGATCGGGTCCCAGTGGCTCAATGGTATACGAGCTCGCCTTGTAACCAGAAGGTCCTGGGTTTGAACCCTGGTGGGTGCGTACTGATGAAGGGTACCAAACTAGGACGAAATAGCTGTCCAGTACTCCTAGGTTTTCCAGTGGTTCTCTAACTGATGTCAGCTCATGATGAAATCCCCCATGCAACTTGACCTTTGTTCAGTTTTAATTTTGGTTGAGCTATACTCAACCTCGTCAATTAGATTACGTCACTGCCGGCCAAAAGCTGCTACTTTGACGTGGTGGTCGGGCTTGAACACCGCAATGACCTAATCAAGCTATACTGGCTGAGACTTATGTCTCTTGTGGTTCTACCATGCCAGAAAGGTTGTTTGGATAGCGGTTAAACAAAAAACAGCTACCCCATCTAGTACCATGATTCAAACAAATTCACGAAATATCATGCCGGATCGGCCGTGGCCCGGATTAACAACGACCGCGCTTCCTGCTGCCGTGTCACAGGGCAGGAGTGATAAGTATGCTACTGAGACACACCAAACAAAAAAGGACAAACAAAAACAGGCCGCGTGTGACCGGCCTTAAGCAGTTGTCCCCTGGGTTCTGCGGTCACGCAACCAACTTCCACGGTGTGGGCAGCCGGGAAGTAACAAACGCCCTCACAATCCGAAATTATGTCTCTCAGCTTGCTTCTTTAATTATTATTGTATCCTTTAGTTCCTAGAGGAACATAGGGCTTCAGCTGCGCACCTCCATTGACTTCGGTTTTCTGACAACTTTTCACCCTGCTCCAGGTCTGTCCACATGCTTTCATCTCCTCCTCGCATGACCTCCTCCAAGTCACCCTTGGACGACCAACTCGCCGCCTCCCTTTCGGGTTCCACTCGAGGGCTTGTCTAGTGATGTCACTTGATGGTTTCCTCAGCGTATGGCCAATCCATCTCCATTTCTTTCTGCCTATTTGTTTCACAATCGGTTCCTGATTGGTTCGCTCCCAGAGATCCCTGTTGCTGATCTTTTCTGGCCATCTGATCTTGAGTATTGAGCGGAGACAGTTGTTAATGAAGGTTTGAAGTTTGTTTGAGATGCTCTTTATGACTCGCCAAGTCTCTGATCCGTATAGTAGCACTGACTTCACATTGGAGTTGAAAATCCGGATCTTATTTTTGATGCTGATGCTGTTGACCTCCACACAGATTTGAGAGTAATGAAAGCTTGTCTTGCTTTTCCGATTCTGGCTTTGATGTCCTCGTCAGTTCCGCCTGTAGTTGAGACGATGCTTCCCAGGTAGGTGAAGGAGGTTGTTTCTTTCAGGTTCTTCCCATTTATGCTTATTGTGGTCTGTTGTGTTGTTGATGTTGGCTAGGAATCTTCATTATCTCTGTTTTATCTATGTTCACGTGAAGTCCTATCTTTGATGCTTCTTCTGCCAACTTGTTACTTTTCACTTGCATATCTTCCAGTTTATGGGAAATCAGACATATATCATCGGCGAAATCCAGATCCTCCAAGTCTTTTGTGTCAGTCCATTTTATGCCTGTTCCCTCGTTGGTTGCCGTTGTCTGTCGCATTATCCAATCAATTGCAATCAGGAAGATCATTGGTGATAGTAGACAGCCTTGCCTCACTCCCGTCCTCACTTCGAAGGCTTCCGTAAGTTTCCCGTTGTGGATTACTTGGCATGCAGCATTGTCGTATAACTGTTGGATGAGGTGTATAATTGTCGATGGGACCCCGTAGTAGCGAAGTAGTTTCCAAATGACCTCTCGATCGACGCTGTCGAAGGCCTTTTCAAAGTCGATGAAGTTGAGATAGAGAGGTGACTGCCATTCCAAGCTTTGTTCAATGATGATCCGTAGAGTGGCGATTTGATCAATACATGATTTGTTTCTCCTGAATCCAGCCTGTTCCGGACGAAGTTTTTCATCTAGGGCTTGTTTGATTCTCTCCAGGATGATGCGACTTAGTATCTTGCTTGGAATGGACAGAAGCATAATTCCACGCCAGTTTTTACATTGACTTAAGTCTCCTTTCTTTGGAAGTTTGAATAAGTAACTGTTCTTCCAATCCTCGGGTACTTTGCCCTCTTTCCACACCTTCTCCAGTAGTGGTGTCATCAAGTCCGCTGTTGTCTCTGGGTCTATTTTCAAAGCCTCTGCTGGGATTCCATCTGGTCCCGGTGTTTTCCCAGCTTTAAGCATCTTGATTGCATTCAGGACTTCTGATTTCGTCGGGGGGTCAGTGTTCACTGGTAGTTCTGCTTCCGTTGTTGGTATTGCTGGACGTGTTGTAGGTGGCGGACGATTTAGAAGTCTTTTGAAGTGTTCAACCCAGTGCTTTCTCTGTTCCACCTCTTTGGTGATTGACTTTCCATTGTCGTCCTTTATTGGCTTAATCTGTGTCGAACGTTTGCCCGAAAGGTTCCTAGTTGTTTGGTAGAGTGTGGCGAGGTCTCCTTTGCCTGCAGCTTGTTCTGCTTCGTTTGCCATGGTTTCATAATATTTTCTTTTGTCTTCCCTGGCACTTTTCTTCACTCTTTTGTTCAGTGTATTGTAGCTTGCATTCAGCTCCTGTTTTTGTTGCTCGTCGTGCACTGGATAATCTTTTGCTTCACTGTCCTTCTCTCTTCTATTAGTTTCCAAGTGTCCGTAGTGAGCCACTGTTTGTACAACATGCTGCTTCTTTAATAGGGTAGAAACTAAAATAGGACTATATGCTTCTTTAGTAGTCCTATTTTAGTTTCTACCCAATTTACACTTTCTACATAACGTAATTTGCTATCTAAAATTTGTTTTTACGAGTTGATCACGGATTAATATCAGTTAGAGAACCATTGAAAACCATCATTGGAGTACCGGACAGCTGTTTTATCTTAGTTTGGGAATCATTGGCAGTACGCACCCACTAATAGGGTTCGAACCCAAGAGCTTTCGGTTACAAAGCAAGCTCGTATACGATTCAGCCACTGGGACCCGACTCAATGGCTGGCGCATGATTTCTAGCTTCTACTAATTCGTGATATAGCGCGACCACCAACCAATGTCATCAGTGGGACATCCATCCTCACACTTGACTGGATGGAACTCACCGGTCCAATTCTAATAACACATCTTTGGAATTATTGATTTTGTTGCTAAGACAATTTGCTGTATGCGATTGTACACCTTGAGAATGATATCGCTGGAGAAAGTAACTCTTTTCTAATAATAACACTTGTAAGTCATTGAAATCAGGTCAGCAATGTAAAAAATATCCGTTCTGAGTGTATAGGTTTGTGGGATTTCCATATTTAATAAGAATTTCTTCTATTGCTTAGTCACTTACAATCATTTATCTCTGGTTTCGCATTATTGTATATCGTTTTTCACATTTTTCGTTGGCAAAGCACGTTTGCTGGTTTACAATTCATCATTCGCAGATAGCTCAGATTTCGACGTAAGAATTCCTCCTATCGTCACCTGCCTAATACTATTTGATGGTAGTGAAGTCCAGTCCACATGGTAGTGGACTGGGACTACGCTCCTATGGCTGACAGTGACAAAAACAAATTCATAAGCCATTCAATCCTTTCAACTTCTTGGGCTGCTGTACATCATATATTTGAAATCAAAGTTTTCCAGTCTCCTTTGGTTGACTTGAACATGCACCAGTCCGGTTGTATGCATCAGACGTTCACACTTTCCCTTTTTCTTTTAAAGATCACCCAGGCCATGTGAAAACAGTAATTAGGACTTACCTGACAGTAGTAGGCTATAAATTCGTGGCTTCATGAAAGCTTTTTGAGAAGAAGACCAAAAGGCACAAACAGCGAAGAAAATTTTCTTTTTGACGATTCGTTTTCATGAGCTGTACAATCGTAATTATAATTAAACACATAAGTTTTTGACCAATCAGATACTGGTAAACTTTGTCCTTGAAAATTCTACTACATAGTGTGAGGTGTAAGAAGGGATGACTAATTGTAAGTTAGAAAGGAGACAGAAGTTGGCATGACCTAATCTGATTGGTCAAAAACTTATGTGTTTAATTATAATTACGATTGTACAGCTCATGAAAATGAATCGTCGAAAAGAAATTTTCTTCGCTGTTTGTGCCTTTTCTTATGACTCAATATGGGAATATTTCGTTCATTGAAGAAGACCAAAGTCAGCCGTACAAGACCGTTCTTTATTTTACTGTTGTTGTGTTAGGTCCTCTGTTCCTAACTGAGGTTACAAAAGTTGTCACTAGTCTGAAACGAGGCAAAGCAGCAGGACCTGATGAAATGACTCTAGAGGTGTTTAAAGACGGTGGAGACAGTTTACTGTCTGCGTTAACTGAGGTACTAGGAAGCGTTTGGGAATCAGATGAAGGAACGTCGTCATTGATTATTCCCATGTATAAGAAGACAAGTCTTCTGTGATAATCACAGGGGGATTAGCTTCATTAATATAGTATGTAAATTTCTAGGCTCAATAATAATGATCACATCTTCATCCATACCTCGACAGTTTCTGGAACGGAACGTAGGCATACTTGCCGGCGTCGAACTATCGTCATATTTCTGTACCTTAAGGCGGCATTCGACTCTTTCGACTGAGAGCTACTATGGTGATGTTTGGCTGTGAAGGGAATACCGAGAAAATACATCATGTCAACCAAGGCACTGTACTCGAACTCATGCGGCTGGGTGAGAGCTTACGGCGAGTTGTCATCTGAAGTGGTGACAACTAGTGGTGTCTGACAGGGATGCCCATTATCCCCATTTCTGTTCAATTTCATCATAAATGCACTAATGGATTTAACCCTAACTCACTTCAGCGATTCAGGGATTGACTTGCTACCAGGGAATAATCTCGTTGACTCGGAATATGCAGATGATATGGTCCTCCCTCCTAGGTGAAGACGCTGACAAAATGCACTTTGAGTTGCAATCTTCGAGTGTTTGGCACGCGACTCGCTCCCATCAAATGTAGGATGATGCTACAGGAGTGGACTACATTGACTTCTAGCTTAGAAAAAGGGAGTGAAGTGATAGCTGAGCGCGTTGACCACTTCACTTATTTGGGAAGTTGCATCAGCCAACGCCAGCGGGTTGATCACTGAATAAATCTCAGGACTAATAGAAAAGGCTCGTTTCGCATATGACAGTTTACGCCGCCTCTGGCGTAGACGTGATATCCGGCTGGTTATCGACCAAAGGACGTGTGTACTGCTCAGCAGTCCGCTCCGTCCTCCTTTATGGCTATGAGACCTGGCTATTCAGAGTGGAAGTCATGGAAAGGACAGCCAGCTGTCTTTCACCATACGTGCCTGCGTTCTGTCTCTCGTGTGAATTGACATAATAGGGTGAGCAATATTGAGTGCTAGATAAGGAAGGAGGGGAAATCAATAGACGAGGTTGTGAAGCAGTTACATCGATTGAGATGGTTAGGACATGTGTTGTCTTACGCATACACCTAGCCATCGATTGCCTTCCTCGACGGGCAGTGTCAGCTGAAATAGGATGGATCAGTTTGGAAAAGAGCCAGTGGTGTTCAAACCAAAACATTACTTCACCAGTCAATGAAATCCACAACAGTTAGTTTAATCCAACCACATAGGAAAATGTAGACTTTCCGACTGGTTGACTTCCTCGGGATGGTAAGAGCCAACAAAGGGTGGAGACAGACAATTGGTGAGATGGCTCAAAATCGTTCTCATTGAGTGGCGCCGATGTATCCACAGCTAGTGACTTGTAATATCCAATAAAACGATATTGTTCTTCCATATTATTATTCCTTTACCTTCTCACTTCTGTTTATTATCTCTGTTTTGAAACCCTCGTTACTTTCTTCTCTTGTTTTGTGTTCTATGTGAAGTGTGGCGACTCGAACTGCTGTACGTCGGTGTAAAGTTCTACGTTAAAACCAGTCAGTCAGTTGTTGTATTGAGCATCTCTTGTTGACCATATTGTAATAAATTTTGTGTTTTAAGTAATATTTTAATGATAATAATCGGTTTTCAATTCCGGCACCATGTTTTTAACACAAAGACATCACTAGTTATTTACTACAGATTGTCAAAGGAAGTTCAGTCATTTATCTGAGATACTGTTGGTGTTTTTATTCGATACAAAAATATGTTTGTTTTTTATTCACTTTATGCAGTCGTTTAATTGAACAACGTTATCGTGTTGAAGCGCTGATCCTACAACATCAGGCAAAGTTGAGTGAATACAATAATGGATCATCATCGAGTACCTCGTTAAATGATTCCAATGACTCTGAATCTCAGCATAAAGAAAGTGTAGAAGCATTGAAATCTTCAATTACACCCGGTGAAGTGAATCAGTTGACAGTTTTATCAAACAAATTATCGAAGTGAGATTCCTTTTCAATAATAATACTAAGTAGTAGTTTAATCATTTCACTTTAATATTTTTAAAGCCACTTTTTTTCAAAAATTACTGTTGTATACTTAATATCCTCCATATCATATTCAATTTAATTTAAAAATCTAGTGGAACACTCAGGTAGACACTTGTAAAATCTAGACTGGAAGGTAACGCAATAAGTAATGAAAATCAAAACAAGTGATGATTCAGTGAAGGGACTCTTTTCAACGAATTTATCATCAAGCTGTACAATCGTATATATATATGATGTGAATGGATAAAGTAATAATAATAGTATGAAATGCAATTAAGACTAAATGTTTGTGACTATAATCGTAGTTAAATGTCAAGTGGCAAAACAAATTTATGTCATACATAGAATAATTCATCGGATGTATAGAACTTGGAAGGGGTGTGCAATTACAAGATTAGTAGACAAATCGAATAAAATAAAAACGTTACGTAATATTGTGTGAAATTTGATAACATAGAATTTAACGTTGTGAAAAAGAATTGATTTAAAATGACAAGTGGAACAAGTGAAATAATACCGGGGACAGTTCAAAGTGAGAATAGTAATAGTAACAATTGACTTAATAAGGAAGAGTATACAAATTGTATAGACAAAACGAAAAATTGGTAGAGCTAAAATATGATTAGGGATTACCATACTTTAGCATAGAGGGATTATGATCATGAAAGCTGGAGGGTTTGAACGAACTTTTTCTGTACACAGAGATCTTGCTTTTCTGTTTCGATAGCCAAAGCTTCAGCAATACAGATGAGTCGGTTACGTAGGGATTTGGGTAAATTACTCTTTGCCTTGTAGATGACTTCAGAGGCAGGGGCTATAGCGATAGGGTGATCATTGTCGACGAGATGTTCGATGATCGCACTTTTAATAGCTCCACTTCCACCTCTTTGTAACCATGCAGGTTAGTGTTCTTGCACCCTCTTGGACAAAACTCGAGTCGAACGACCGATATACCTAGCTCCACACGAGCAGGTGAATTGATAAACACACAGAATCGGTCAACAGCGAGATCTTGTCCTTCAGGAGGTTATTGAACAGTAATGGTCGACTAGTAAAGGCTATTCTCTGAGATGCAGCAGGGAATGTTCTTTTCAAGGTCTGTGATATCCTTCGTCTCATGATATCGGAAGCTAAGTCGCCTTTGAATTCCAAGCTCATGTAAAGTATTTTCTTAGGTACGGTTGATAAGTCATGTTTTATAGGATTTGAATGTATATTCTTATCTATAAAACGTGGTGGAAATCCATTTTCTACTAGGATTTTCCTCAAAAGGTATAACTCATCTTCCATAGTATCAGGGCTACATATGCGCCGAATACGAGTGGCAAGCGACCAGACCAGGTAATGGCAGGCATTGATGTTATTTGGTAGATTGTGACTAGCAGTGGAATCGGGAGTACTCATTTGACCGTATTTGGGGCTCGTCGTCTGGATGTATTTGCAACCCGCTGTTAGTGATGGGGTTCCCAATTGAGACTCGAACCCACTACCCATCGTTTCAAACTCCATAGTGTTATCCACTGGTCCACTTGGCTTGTGCATCAGGGATAAGTTGCTATATTGTTTAAGTCAATTTCGATGAAATACCAGCCAAGAATCCACTACGTAACAGCAATGTGTTGATCCTCCATCATCGTTGGTGTGTCCATACTGAGAACCGATGCGTCAACAGAAGGGGAACATTTCGGTGTAATGGATTAATGGGAAACCAAAGTTGACTTTTATAAGATCAGAATCTTTAAAACAGATCAATAGTGGATTGTAATAATTGTGGCATGCCTGTGGGGATGCGACTTGCTTGCTTAAGTACTCACTTTTAGCTGATAGATCGCGGTTTCGAGTCCAGTTTCACTTCAGCCTGGACAACTGGTTGCTATCATCGGTCCTCACATAGTGAGTGTAGCTAAGTCTGGAACATTACAAGTCTGTTCCGGGTATTTGAGTTCAAACATCATCAAAAATGTCTCTGCCTTGGTCTTCGCTTTTCTTTAGATTATTTCACCAAATGGCCTACATTAAGTTTTGTGATTTTTTGGGTGTAAGGTAAGCTGCTCCAATCTCCCTCACCACCACTTTAGATCTATTTCCAAAACCTACCAGTGTCTTTCTCATATCTTCTCAACCAATGTAATTCGTAATACTTTTGAAGTGCTAATTATAAAACTATTCAATAATCTTAAAACAGGTTAAGCCATCTTTTAACTAGTGGTTTTTAATTTTCGTGACTGTACTGTCCTCCCGATGTCTTTTCAGCAATTAATTCTTTGGCCTGGATTTGACCACAAACCTGTTTTAATTCTCTTGCCGCAGTTCTCGACATAACTATGGCGGTCAACGACTGACTATTTAGTTCTTTGGCTTAAGCTCTCGACTTCCAGTCAGCAAGCCTCGCGTTCTAGTCATGCTCCACCTACTTCGGCCTGGACCACTGGAGAATATCACCAGTCTCCACCTGTACTAGAATTGTGGCTTGTAAGCTTCCCTCTTTACTGGCCGTACTACTGGCTTAGCGAGGTTTGGGAATGCATCGGCCGAATATCGATCCTCGGACCGCATGCATGATTGGTGAGTGTTCTACATCTGAATCACTGACGCACAGTACTGGATATTATTATTATTGTTCACTTGGGTTTCAAATGGCACATAGGGCTTCAACAGCATATTTCCACCTTGGCTTATTCTCGGCGATCCTCTCTATCTGACCACATGATTGCCCATACTGTCTCATCTCGTCCTCGGATGCCCCGCTTATCGTCTTCCATTGGGGTTCCACTCGAGGGCCTGTCATTCGATGGTTTCGTCAACGTGTGTTCGATAGGTTTCTGATTGGTTCGTCTGCATTTGGTCTTCACCATGGAGCGAAGTCGGGTGTTGACAAAAATCTGCAGTAGCCTTTCGGAAATACTTTTCGTGATCCGTGTGGCAAGTCTGCAAACCATGTAGAAAAACCAAGTGACATAACATCGGTTTTCAAAATCTGAATCTGGTTCTTTATGCTGAGTGAGAAAGATTTCATAGTGATGAAAGTTTGTTTTGCCTTTCCAATTATGGTTTTAACAACCTCATCCGTACCATCTACCTGTAGTTGAAACGATGCCGCCTAGATTAGTGAGATCTAACTCCATTGTAGATAAGATTTTATTTTGATAAATCACACAGTGGTGTTGTACATTAATATTAACCGAGCAGTAGCACTAAGTAGCCCAAGAAAAGACCTAAATGATGACATAAAACAGACAAAAGTAGAAGCGTTGATGTAAAATAACTATCCTATAAAATTCATTAGGAAATTCTATTATGGGTAAATTTTTGTTTTGATAAAGTCTCACAGTGTTATACAGTAATGTTTACTGATGACGTTTCGAGCATAATTTATTGCTCATAATCATATCAGGGTATTCACACGACTTCCTGGCTGGGGTCCTCGAGACGGTAAAAATCAATGGTTGAAAACAATTGGTGACATGGCTGAAAATCGTTCTCAGTGGCGCAGATGCATCCACTCCTTGTGACTTATGATCTCCAATGAAACTGTTTTGTTCTTCGTTATTACTCCTTTGTCTCACCCCTCTGCTCACTGTTTCTATTATGCTTTTCTTGTACTTTCTTCTCTTGCTTCGCGTGCTACAAGGAGTGTGGCGACTTGAACTGGTGCACATTTGTGCAAAGTTCTATGTTGAAAACAGACAGACAGAGACACAACTTCCTAAATTCATTTATATAGTTCCATTATTTTCCATCGCTTGATTTTCACTTGATTTGATTGGCAGTAGTATTTTCCATATTTCAGGTATGGGTGATGACTCATTTCTATTGCATCTGTGTTTGGTGTAGACTCGATGAACTAGGATTCAGTAATCAACCTCTCTCTCCACGCACCTACTTATATTAATTTTTAGAATTTTAACTTTCTCCCACTCTATTGTGTGGTTGTGTGTTAATGCATTAAGTGCAATTGCTGAGCGTTTTTTCTAAATTATTATCTTCCCTGGGTCAACCATTCCGACATTGGTCAAATTCTTATGTTCCGATAATCTGACTACACCTGACCTACTAGTTTGCCCTATATAGTTGACTTGACTCACAGTCATTGCATGGTATTCTGTAGGTTATATTGTTTTGTTTAATTGGGTCAACTGGGTCCTTTAACCTACACAGCTTGTCCCTAAGTGAGTTTGTAGGTTTAAATGCCACCCTAATTCCTGCTTTATTTAGAATCCTACGTAGGGTTTCAGATGTCCCTTCTTTATATTAGACAAAATAATATAATTTACAAAATACCATGCAATGACTGTGAGGTCAACTACATAGGTCAAACTAGTAGGTCAGGGGTATTCAGATTGTCAGAACATAAGAATTTAGCTAAGGTAAGAATGGTCGACCCCGAGAAGATAAGTAATTTAGAAAAAAGCTTAGCGATTGCACTTCACGCATTAACACACAACCACACAATAGCATGGTGGGATAGGGTTAAAATTCTAAGAAGTAATCTAAGTAAGTGGATAGATATAGAGGTTGGTCACTGAATTCTGGTTCATCGAGTCTACACCCAACGCAACAACACATGCAGCAGAAATGACCCAATGCAAGTACAGAGATATGGAACATATTATTACCACCAGTCAGTCAGTCGAATCACAGGAGGATAATAAATAATCTTAAAATTCTATTTCAATTCAATTCACGTATATTATAACATTCTAACAAGTTACTTATTTTGACTATAAAAACACTCGTCTTATTTCCCATCTGATTGTATTTCACCAGTAACACTCATATTATTATTTCTGAATGTAGATTATCCCATTTTGATTTTTATTCAAATATCTATTCATCAATCCCACACATGTATATAAATGAAGCAAGAAAGTTGTGTGTTACTTGATACGATTATGAGTGGCAATAGTTTGTGCTTGAAACATGGTCGCATCAGTTAATATTACTGTATAACAAACACACTGTGTGACAGTTTATCGAAATAAAATCTCATGCATAATGGAGTTGTACTCTACCAAAGTGGCCAAGTTTTATGCTTACATCATTTGAGATCTAGCTCAACTCTTAATGACACTTCAGTGATCAAATTTCTCAAGCCGTATCTCTATCACAGATATTTAGATTAATGATAAGATATTTAAGGAATGCTTAATTACTTTTTAGTCTTGTAAGGCAATTAGTTGTAATTTCTCGAGTATTAGAGGCATATGTATACCGAATTTTCATAATCATAATAAAGTATTGTTGTTGGTTGTCGACTTCAGTAGACATTTATTTTTGTGCATTTGGAAGAAAAGTCTTTATGTTAAAACTTTATTTCATCAATTGATGTTGTATTTCTCTGTTTTTAAAATTCTTTTTTTTTCTCAAGGTTGTTGAACTGTGAATACAAATGTCATACGGCATGGTTTGTAGCCGATCTCTACATTCGTTTGCATTCATAATATAACGTGTCGGTCTGACAAAAACAAATTTCCTGTAATTTATTTTTATGTAAATAGGCTTGTTCATTTATGAATTGTATAATATATTGTTGTAAATTATAAAATGTTTATTTTGAATCACACTTTAGTTGTCTTTTTTATGTGATATTCATTGGGTTCAAACGTCGCCTCCTTTGCTCCTCATGCTTGGACATAAAGGCCCTTTACACGCATTGAGACTGTGAAACTTAGACAGTGTATCTCTTAGAGTTGTAATTTCATATTGCTGCTGCTCATCAGTCCGCTCCGTCCTCCTTTATGGCTGTGAGCGAGCCCTGGCCATTGAGAGTGGAAGACATGAAAAGGACAGCTAGCTGCCTTTGATCATAGGTGCCTGCGCTCTATTTCCCGTGTAAAGTGGCATAATAAGGTGAGCAACATTGAAGTTAGGCGTCGAGTTCTAGGTAAGGAGGGGAAATCAATCGACGAAGTCGTGAAGTTACAAAGACTGAGATGGTTAGGACATGTGTTACGTATGCCAAGTCATCGCCTCCCTCGTCGAGCAATGTTAGCGGATGTAGGGTCAGGCTGGAAAAAAGCTAGCGGTGGTCAAACAAAAACTTGGCACCAGTCAATGAAATCTACAACAGTTGGTCTAAGCCACGTAGAAAGGTGTAGACTTCCTGACTGGTTGGGGTCCTCGGGACGGTAAAAATCAATGGTTGGAAACAATTGGTGACATGGCTGAAAATCGTCCTCAGTGTCTGGCGGAGATGCATCCACTCCTTGTGACTTATAATTACCAATGAAACTGTTTTGTTCTTCGTGATTACTCCTTTGTCTCACACCTCTGCTCACTGTTTCTATTATGCTTTTCTTGTACTTTCTTCTCTTGCTTGGCGTGCTACACGGAGTGTGGCGACTTGAACTGGTGCACATTTGTGCAAAGTTCTATGTTGAAAACAGATAGACAGACAGAGAATTTCATATTGCAGTTAAATGAATCCTGCTTAGGAAACATTCACGGCAATATGTTTTGCATGCGATTCTCTCCTGTCAAATGTAAGATGATGATGTTACAGGACTGGACTACATTGCCCCCTAGCTTAAGGATGAGGAGTGAAGTGGTAACTGAGCGAGTTGACCACTTCACTTATTTGGGAGGTGAAATCAGCCTCAATGGACTGATTGCTAACAAAATAACAGCTCGGAATACAAATGGCTTATGTGGGATTTGCCAAATTACGCTATCTCTGCTAGATACGTGATATCCCACTGGCTATCGATCAGAGGATGTTTGTACTGCTCAGCAGTTTGCTGCATCTTCTTTTATTGCTGATGAAAGTGGAAGATATGAAAAGGCGTTCTGTCTCACGTGTTAATTGGCATAATGTGGTAAGTAATATTGAAGTTAGGTGACAGTGAATTGATTGAGATGACTAAAACATTAGTTGTGCATCTCAACCCATTGCCTTCCTTGACGAGAAATGTTAGCCGACATTGAATTAGATTGAAAAAAAGTTAGAGGTGGTCACATCGAAACATATCATCAGATTATAAAGTCTTTGATAGTTGGTTTGAGCCAGTTGCCTAAGTTGTGTTTGGGCTTCCTGGTTATGGTCATTGGAAGGTTAAGAATCGATGGATAGCGACAGTTAGTGGCTCAAAATCGTTCTCAATGCCATAGATGTGATCATTTCCATATCCATTAAACTAATTGTTTCTCCCTCACATTTCTGCTTATTATTATGGTCCTTTTGAATCCCTTGTTTTCCTCTCTTTTATCTTCCTTTGTGTGTCACAACGAGTGCGCCGACTTGAACTTCTGTGAAAGCTTCTATGTTAAAACTCAGTCATTCAGTGTTGCAGTACGATTGTCATCTAACCTTTTGTGGTAGTTTTTGATACTTTGCTTTTATATTGTACTGATCAGCATATCAAATGACACAGTCACAGAATAATTATTCCAAGACGAAAACTAAATGAAATAGCGTAACGTGTCTTCTTTGGGTTTGAAAACTGAAAATAATCTGTACTGTAATACACTTAGAAATAACAAGTCATTTCTTGTAGTATTAGTAGTGGCTTTATCGTATCTGTTTCACTTAGCTACGTGTTGTAGCGGTAAATAATTCCTCAAAATTATTGACCACAGCACTCACCACTGAACATTAGATGCTGACCCTCACAGTTTAAGTTGACTTGTTTAGCTGAAGGCTTCCAGTTAAGCATCCATGCCATTTGGTACTCCGTCGTGTCATGTTCGTGCACGATCACTAACCAGCTAAACAATCATCTCGCACTCCGGTTTGGTCCCGAAATATATCTCGTAATTTGGACGATCAAATATCGTGTTTTGCTTCGCCTTCGGTCCACGCGGAACGAATTCTATAGAAGTTGTGGGTATTACATCTTGTGTTGGTATACTTCGTACTGTCCGTGGACGTCAATACCGTCAGCCTCTAAAGTGTTACAAGAACTGTTCTACGACCCTTCTGGATATAAATGCAAAAACATACAGGTCACTACCACAAAATATATTCCAGCATTATAGAACAACAGTACTCCTTGGACATGGATTTGCAAAAGGAATATTGCTTTGTAGTCTGACTGATAGCGTTATTTTGTACGTAATTCTGACGCATCAGTATCTTCCTATCTTAAAATAAAAAATAATTATTGCATCCAAATTTCTCAGGGCGTGTCTTAACGCCAGCTATATCAAACTCTATAACGCATTTTAGGACCACTTACCACTGCCCGACAAGTAACGTATTTATATCAGTTGTTAGATTTCGCCAAGAACCAATAATGGTTAGACAGGTCATTGAAAACCACGGAGCACTGGACATTTGTTTCTTCCAATTTTGTAACTCTCCGACAGTGTGCATCGCCACAGGTCGACTTTCACGTTAGAAGACCAAGCTCACGAAGCGATCAGCCATTTGGGCAGGAATTCGTGACGAAATCTAACAGTCGAAATGATAAAATCAAATGCCATAATCTAAATCTTAATCTCCAGCTCACTGGTGGGTGTCCTGAAGCTATTGTAATGAGAAGTCGCGTTCAATAGGGTCCACTATATCATGGTTAAAGGGCAGCTCATTGAAAACATTGGTGAGGGTAGCGATAAATAATGGTATTATTCTACTCCCGCATGATTCATTCGACATTTTTTATGGATTGGTTCACAGTCATTCGGATTCCTGACCGAAATGAATCAAACAATTCACTGGTTGCTGATTGTGCTGATTAATTAATACTTCTTTGCATGTTTGAGTGGATACTAACATCGGCGGTGAGCCTCTTGTGGATAATATTGCCGAAAACATTGATGTCGGTAAGCTAACTAACGTTCTACAAGCCATTTTTTGTAAACTGTAATACTCAGAGGCAACAGTCACAACCAACGAAGGAAAAAGACGCAGATGCGAGAGGAAGGTGTTAATTTCAACCAAGCTAAGCTTGAATTAACCGGGTACAAGTTACTTGTCGTCATTTATAACAAGTCTAGACAAACGATCTTCCTGCTCCAGTAAAGCCACGTCACTGTCCCTTTCTGAAAAAGAAGGAGAAAACTTATTAAATGGCATTATGCTAGTTTTTATCTCATTACATCGCCCCCTCCACTCTGGAGGCACTGTCCTCAGCGCCTGGCGGTGGTATAAGATATGCACTGCCTCCAACGGTCGGCATCTTGACGTAGCTAGCAGCGGGCGGAAGTTCCTTTACAACTGCTGGGTAGTGAGGTTTCAGCTGATTATATTGCGCGGAGATGAGGTTTTCTTGGGGTCTACGCAAGGCATACGTAGTGGGAGGTCGGTGCTGTACGATTTCATATGGTCCTTGTCATGGGGCGTAGCATTCAGGGCACTAACCGGCAGGGACTGATGGTCGATGGAGCCAGACGTAGTCACCCAGGGAACAATTGGGTCCGCGAGCAAACCAGTCATAAATGCTTTTCTGATTTTCTGACGAAGACTGCAGATGGTGACGCGCCAGGATGTAGGCTATCTGCAGGTGGTGACGAAGGTGTCGGACGTAGAAAATACAGTCGATTTTTTCATATGGTACCGTGGCGTACGGATCTCGACTGGAAGGCGGAGTTCACGCCAGATCAAGAGAAGAGCCGGGGAAAATCCCGTCGGTGAATGCATGGAGGAGCGATATACAAGCAAACACTGGGGCAGGACATCGTCCAAGTGTTCCTCGTGCGTTGTGCAGAAAGCACGGGGGAGATTCTTGGTAGTTCTGCTGGTGCTGTCACCAGTCCATTACCCTGTGATGTGACGTAATGAGTCTTTCGAATGCCGAAAGCATTGCAGATGTGGGTGATGAGATGAATCTCGAAAGCAGCGTCCTTTTCAGAGAATAGATTAAGGGGACACCAAAGGGACATTCAGTTGTCGATGAAAGCGCAACCGATCGTCGAGGCATCCTGTTATTGCAAAGAGACAGCTTCGAGCCACTTTGTGAAGTAATCAACCATGGTATGTAGCGATTACCGCGTCTCGAAGTTAGTACTGGCCCCGTAACATCACTCCAACTGGGATTAGGAGCCGATCAACATGGGCACTAATGGTGCTCGGGAAGTTGGTTTGGGCTGCTTGATGTCTGCACATACACACATATTCACATACTTACCCTTTCTGGTATTCTGCTGCTTCTATTCATCTTCTGGTCGAGGTCGAAAACCCTGCATCTAAACTGAAATGAAGACTGATTCCAAACCATTTATCTCATAACAACTCAATTCCATGAACGATCCAATTCTACAATTTGAAGACGCTGGCGAACATGCTGTAAATGAGCATTCATGATCTGAAATGAAGAAGCAACTGGTTTTCAAACAGTTGTCAATGGAGATGAAGACTGAACGATCAATTCGTGGTTGTTTGCTCAAAACCAACTTCCCCAATTTTCGCGGAGGCATCAATACACCAGTCATCGTCTCATCGGTCGCTGTTCAGAAAGGAGTCAGAATAAAACCGTCAGAAGTAATATTGTGATTTATTATTGTAATATTTGTTCACAGACCTTAGTGATACGTTATTTATATGTTGGTGTTACAATAAGAATCTCGAGTCAACAATTGGTGTATTGGTTTTTCGTTCTTTATTACTAAGCGTTTCTGAGAAACTTC